ATTTATCGTTGCTCAACAGTTCAGAGCCTCCTAAGGACAGCAAAAAGTTATCTTACAGCAATTTATTAGCGAAACTTGAGAAATTACATTCAGGTCTTGAGGAACTTCATAAAAAGGTCACTGAAATAAATGGTAAGTTATATTTGCTAACTTTTGAATTACGACGAAGATGAAATTTTCACTGCGCTTTCAAAGGGTGTGGAGATTACGGATCCTGAACATCTAGGATCAGCGATTGATACTTCTTTCCAATTTGAATTTATGAAAACAAAATGTGGGAAACGTTTTCCAAGAAATACATCGAAATAGTTGATCAAATGTTACTGTCTATTGTGAGGCATGGGTTTTGAATAGTTAAAATCATGCTTCAAGTGTAGTTTAATCCCATACCTTTTTAAAAAGATATTGTGTTGACCTTGTTGACATCTTTGTTTTTTAAATAAATTTCCTAAAGATTCCACATTGTGGCGTTTTGATTAAGGATGGAGGGTTTTAAATCTGTGCCAATTTTTCTGACTGATTTCTTTGATTGTCTTTTCCCTTGTTGAATTAATTAATTAATTAATCTCTCACACACGACTTATTCTGTATGCAATTTTTTGAACATTTCACTGTTTTGTCCATAATGATCAAAGATTTCTAGCTTCCACCCCTCGAAATTGTACCACAGATCTTAGATCGCGACTTAACATGACGTCTTAACCTATATAATTCTGGATTATGAGTATTAATTTCCCTGTGCTTCTTATGCGCTGACTGATATGCATGGTGAGCACTTCGCTACGTTCATCGGGAGCGTCAGTCCTTTAGATCAGTCGAACATTTTGTAGAGATCTTGCAGCCCGAGCGTATAGTAACCATGCCTAAGCCCTCTGTAAAGTTTTTTATCTATTTAGAGAACAATAGGAGCCCAGATAATTTATTGATATACAGGATCTGTAAGAGGGGGTCTAATACATTCCTTGTTACACCATGCTAAGTACCATTGTCCATAAGGAGAGTTTGGGGTTGATCGTGATTCCATGTGCCCTACCTATGAGAAATTTCTTAATCCAGTTTATAAACAAGCTTCTGTTGATTCAAAAACTTTCAAACTTCACGGACAATATTTTGTTGAGGCACTTTACTGAAAGCTTTGTTAGCATTTATTTAAACGACATCGATGGGTTTCTTTTTGTCCCTGATATTAATCCACGTTCCCATTTCTGTAAAAATGCTTGCCAGGCATGAGACCTCTTCTCAAGAGCCGAGTTGCGTTCTCGATAAAAAATTGTTATTTTCTAGATATGTCATAGAAGCTTCCTTGAATACTCTTTTCAGTGTTTGAATCAAGGTACTTATAAGACTAATAGCCCCCGGCCTGATTCTATTGAAATGACGATTCTTGTTTTAAGACTTTAGAGAAGTAGTTTGCCGTTGCTTCCGCTTTTTATGGATGTATTTGAGTAGTGTCGGTATCAGTATTCAGATTTGGGACTTCATTGGACGTCTTAATCGCGGAGGTCATTTATAAAAATACTCTGAGCTGCGGCACTGCATTTTGATCTAAGTGCATTCCAAACATCCATAACTGACGAGTTTCTGCAGTAGCTTTAATTCTAGAGGTGGTGAATGGCTTTCTGGCCTCAGAAGCACCAGATATAACAAACACTTTCCAATATTTAAGTTTAAGTCTGAGGAGTGTACAAATCTCCCGACTTATGCATAAGGGTAGTGTTTTTGTCCGTTTGAGACAGACCGTCGGATAAGGAGTTGGGTTGTAAAAGACTGCTTGAATTGACTCCATGCAGCTTCCACATGAAGCTATGGATTTATTTCCCATTCCTAGGTTAAAGTCGCTTAAATGATGGTACTGATGTCGGCTTTACATAAGTTTGGTCAAGCTGGGGTTTCGGCCCCAGCTACCACACAAACTATTAACTTTAAAGTAAGCCCAGAGTGGTCAAGTTTCCCTAGGTGTAGAAGATGATACATGAGGTTCACAGCTTTACCAAGGGAGAAAGTCAGGTCCAAGTTTGATTGGAAGTGATGTGAATCATAACGCAAAGGTTTTCTGATATTTGCTGGACATAATAAAATAGTAGACTCTATCGACATATGTTTGAAGGAGCTGACTCAGTATGAAGTTGTTAGGTTCATCCAATCAAGCAGTGCGGAGTTAAAATTGCCCACCACAGGATGCCGACAATTCAATGTCCACAAGCCTAGTTTATGTATTAGAGAACTGTCTGCAGTGAAATCGGGAGTGAGATGTGTTACGAGGAGTTCTATGACTTGCCCTTTGCAGTTGTGTTTGTAGCATACAGTTTCGCGTGATCTGCCTTATTTGAGAGAACCTTTATGTTACTCTAAGTCAGATAATTATTGAAATAGAAAGTCACTCCACTCTCTTTGAGGTTTAGTTAGTCTGCCCTGTGTACTGTGAACTTTTGAAGGTTAACTTCACTGTCGCTGAATTCAGATGTTAACCATGATTCCGTAATGGCCATGATATCTGGGTTTTCAGACTCTATCATACCACCCAGCTTAGTTCATTTATAATAAACAGACTGTGAGTATTAGTCTGGTAAACTGTTAACTCAGTTCAGTGCTCCGGAGTTCAATCCACAGATGTCTTAAAATCATTCAAATTCGAATTTTGACTACTTGGAAACCCTCACCGTTGTGATGATGGTCGCTTAACTCTAATGTCGCAAACTACCATTAGTTGCAGTCTCATAGACATAAGCCTGTACGGACGCGGATGATTGAACACCAGTTAGTGGTTGGCGCAATGCGTCTAAACCTTTGTTTGGTGCAGACCGAATTCCATAAGTTAGTCTGGAATGAATCGTTGATAGTAAACGATTGAAGGCAATTCAAAGTTCACTTTGATAGCGAGCCACCCAGATAGGTGGCCACATTGCAAACTTGACTGATGAAATTTAGTCTGCGGCAAACAGAGGACTAGAAGCATCACACTAGTTATTAATTAAGGTCCAATCACATTGTCCAATTCAATCCCACAGGAGGTCAATCGCGGACCCGAATAGCTCAGTGGTAACGTCTTTAAGTATAGCACTGAGTGACTTGTATTCGGATATCAAAAGGGACACGAGTCCCTTGGAGGTTGCAGATACGCCTTACCGGCTGACTGAGGTGAATTAGAGCTTTCTGCCAACGGCTTCCAAGTAGAGGCTGACTATTTGAGAATGTCAGTATTGCTCAAGATAGCATCCCTCTGAGTTCTTGAGTTTAGAATGACTTTAACAAGTAGCACTGACGGACATACTATGGACGCAGCCCCTTGGCTGGTTCTACACAAACTGTGAATGGCTATGCCAGCTACTATTTTAGACAGCAGCTCATCCGTAATCGGTTCGAGTAGCTGTTTAACTCAGACTCTGGGTCTGCTAGTAATCCCTGCTAATACTTAACATCAAAACACAAAAGCTATGAGACGGTGTCATTTTATGATAGATGCTCTTTCAAACTTTGGAAAGAACAGGATTTTAATCAAAAGTCAGAGTATGCAATTTTAGTGAACGTCAAAACACGACAGTTGTGTAACTTAAGGCATTTTGTCAATTGGCTTCTGTCATCATCACATCGGAGAACTTCTTTTAAATTAAGCTGATATCTTCCTGCAAGATTAATCATTTTGGTTGGTTTCAATTCCTTCATCATACGGTAGAGAAAACTTTAATGTACAAAATACTTTTTCCCACATTAGTAGACCTTTTTCTAATAAAGTTTAGACTTATTCTTTAACACGAAGTAGAAGCGGTATTTATTTGATAGCTAACAACTGCTAACAGCCTTCACTGTTGGAAAGTGTTTATACAACACGTTTCATATTTGATTGGTTAGAGAATTTCAACATGAGCTGACATCGGTTAGAGAACAATTGGAAAACCTGTAGGGAGTACTGGACAGTTGTTTTGTTCAAGTTTTGAGACTCTTCCGCAGTACGCACCCACCTTCACTGTTCGAACCTAGGACCTGGTTACAAGGTGAGCTAGCTCGTAGACCATTAGGTCACTGGGACACGATCAAATGGGCAGCCCATGCATGAATTCTAACTTCTGCCAATTCACGACATAGCGCGACCACTTCGCAATGTCTTTTTTGATGAGTAATTGTTTTCATCTTCAACTACCCTATTTGCCACGCCTTCCCACTAGATATGGTGAAATCCTACAACCAGTCAAACAAAATCCCTACAAAACCAATACCTGAAAATTGTTCCGGTGCTCACTAGCTACTGGCCCTATTCAGGCAGTTACCTGGGGTTCTAGTGGACAGTAGTGAGAAGTAGCGTACAGCTGGTTGAAGGTGAGGAAGGTTACTCATCAAAAAAGACATTGCGAAGTGGTCGCGCTATGTCGTGAATTGGTAGAAGTTAGAATTCCTACATGGGCTGGCCATTTGATCGTGTCCCAGTGGCTTAATGGTCTACGAGCTACCTCGCCTTGTAACCAGAAGGTTCTGTGCGCCCAAACTAGGACGAAACAGTTATCCAGTACTCCCTGCAGGTTTTCCCATAGTTCTCTAGCTGATTTCAGATCACTAGGAAATCCTTTAACCAATCAAATATGAAATGTATTGTATAAACACTTACCAACAGTGAAGACTGTTAGCAGTTTCTGGATTTCAAATAAATAGCGCTTCTACTTCGTGTTATAGAATAATTCTAAACTTTATTAGAAAAAGTTCTACTAACGTGGGAAAAAGTAATTTGTACATTGAAGTTTTGCCATTAATTTAATTGAATTTTAGATTTTCCCGTCGGTGGGAACATGATCACTCAATGGGGAATGCAGGCACATCCAGTTGACAACGAGTCCCAAATAGGACGAAATGCGCATTGTCCTGGATTCCACTGCTAGTCACCATCCACTAATTAGCCTCTAATTACATGCACAGACATCATCGAAGCATCTGTACAAGAAGCAGACATGTCAACCTAAGACCGAGCACTTCGGTCCAATCAATCAATTAACGGGAAAATCTAGAATTCAATGAAGTCATATTTTTGTTTATATTCATGAATGCTGGTTTTCTTTTCAATATTCAATAAATGCAGGATAATCCAAATCATCAAAATCATTTAGGAATAATAAATGCATGAAAAAAGAAGATTAGTAAATTTCAATATAAATTAAGATTTCTTTTTTTGAAGAAATAAAAAACAACAGCCACCAATATAAAATCCCCTCCTGTTCAATGATCAGTAGTTCAATAAAGAAATGAATTACAATTGATTCACTATAACAAAACAAAAAGAAGACGAAACAAACGGTAATTCAAATTCACTGCAAAAAGAGAAATTTAGTTCACTATCAACTAATTCACAAATTTATATATACATGAATCTTGAAAAACATATTCTTAACAATTCAGATTATACATACACACACACACTTCCGAAAATTCAAATAAAGCAGGGATCATTTTTAGCGAGATTTAAATAATTGAATTTGGAGGTTAGAAAGTTCGAATAGAATAGATAATAAAAAAAGGAGACAACAACTCCACATTGTTGACACGGTAATGGAAAGTAAATTGTGTATAATAGTATAATAATACTCAAATAAAAACACACCGATACACAAAGATAATACTGAAATAATATTTAAGTAGTATGGAAATAAATAGTAAAAAAAGACAACAACTAAGAAAGAATATTAGCGTAGAATAAACCGATGAATGACTATAAACAATGTCTACTAATTATTTTTTTATCATTTATTGCACTAATTGTGGTAGTAATAGTTATCATTATTATCATATCGCAGAATTACTTCTAGTAGACCCATGTAACTGGTATCCATTGTGGACTGGTCTGAAATTCATCAATAGCATGTTTCAATTGAACAATTGTCTCTTCAATATCATTGTTAATAATTTTCAAATCGAAGAAATGACTGTAGTGTTGTTCAAGGAGAGCACTTTCACGTGCCAGGCGTTCTAAACTGTTATCCTACAGTGTTGAAATAAATAAAAAAAAGAGATGGAAGGAGAGTAGTATAATACGCATACGCTTATTCACCCTCCCCCCCCCCTCTTACGAATATTTGAATAAACAACAGTGGTTGGTGAAGAATAAGACGACAGTAGCACCATTTATTTCGTTGGCTACTCAACCTACCTGTGTACAGACTAAACAGTTTAAACATACTTGCAAATATTACATGTTGTCAGTTGACAAGAGGTACCTGCAAACTTAATGAACAGTGTTCAGAAAGTTATAGTTTATACTCAGAAGGAGTTCAAGTTTATGCTAAAAAATTAAATGTTTTGATATAGTAGCAAAGGAGTTACACAATAAAGATAAGAGGTGAATAGAACGATGAATTACTAATAAATTGAGTGACAATGTGATGGGTTCAAGTCAAATAATAGAAACAAGAGACAAGTAAATTAGTACCATATCAAATGAACGAGACAGTAAAGAAATCCAGTTACTGGGGCAATGAAAGACTGGTTACAGGATTTCATCATGAGCTGACATTGGTTAGAGAACCATTGGAAAACCTGGGAGTACTGGACAGCTGCTTCGTCCTCGTTTTCGAACTCTTCACCAGCGGGGTTCGAACCCAGGACCTTCGGGTTGCAAGGCGAGCTAGCTCGTAGACCATTAAGCCACTGGGAGCCGATCCAATAGCCCATGAATTCTAACTTCTACCAATTGACGACATACAAACCAATGTTTGAATATCAATGAAAGACTGATGACTGCTTCTTTTTGTATATATAAATCGGGTTTCAAGTGTTTGATAGCTATTTGGGGAACTTGAGAAGAATCGAACTATCTTGTCCATTGATAATTTTAAAGAATTCCGTGATGTCCACACCCTGTGACCCCTACTGATAAGATGTCTGCCAATGGCACTATTGTAAACGTTTCGGTACACTCCGTTCTGTTCTCCCAATATAACTGCTACCGCAGATACATGTAAATTTGTATAAACAGTTAGAATTAACATGAGAAGAGTATCTAATGACTTTCAATTGCACCAAAAGACATATCCGATTAACATGAACCAGCATAGCTACAGGATATGCTATGGCTAGTGTGATATTCAATTAAGAACAGACAAAGCTGTCCAACTTTTGCTCAAGTTTGTTGAAGCAATCAAGCTATCAAACGCTTAAAACCTGATTTATGTGTTCAGAAAGAAGCGTTAACAGCTTTTCTTTGCTCTGGTGGTAACTAGGTGTCTTTACTCTCTTTCATTGGATGACATTATCTTTGGCCTTATCTCCCCTCCCCCTTTTGATATAGTGTAAGTCTGCTTGTCTGTTGTTTATATTGATTTGAGTTGAACTCAGTACGCTGTCTACTCACCGTCTTACACATCTCTCGTTTTTATTACATAACTCCTTTACCAGTGTATGCTCACTTTGATTTTGTTTAAACCTGAAAATTTTAGGTATAAACTATTCGAGATGTAATTCCCCACCAGTGTTTATTACGTTTTGAGTCTGCTGTCAACTGACATCATGTAACATTTCCAAGTGTGTTAAAACCGTTCTCTACAGAGAATCAAAATATATCCTTTAGGCTGCATGCAAGTGTTGAGAAGCCAACGAAATAAACGATGGTACCATCATCTTGCTCTGCAGAAATCACTGTGGTTATTCTTACTTTATTCAAAAGGAATGCAAAGAGGAAATAAGTGCCATTTTATTGACATCTTAGAGGAAACAAATACGTCATATATATAAAAATATATATAACACAAAATAATTGAGCAAAGAATATTCTTTTCGATAAATTCCTCTTCCGGCTCTACAATTATATGCATATGTTTATGTACACAGAATATTCTAGATTAGTAGTCATTAACCATATTAGTGTTTTTTAAATAATATCGATTTGTAAAGTAAGATCACTATTGAATTACAGTTCATTAAAGATGCATAAACTATAATAATAATAATAATAATAATAATAATATAGTAGCAAATAGATTATCAACTAAAATCGGGGTAATTTATATATAAATGGTATCCTTCAATGTCACAGTATTATATACTCCGATTAGACAGAAACTAGCAAAAGAACCTATGCAGCAATTACTCAGCAGCACCGAAAATTTCCTACAAAACTCAAAAATGCAAAACTGAAGTTGGACGGAACGTATAAATGTATGTCTAACAACATATTTTCGGTTTAACGAACAAATATTTTAACAAATTAAAGGGACACACCCATTGGATTGCCCATATCAAGTTTGACTGCAGAAAGTGCGATGCAAAGATTTACAAATATAATCCTACTGAAGATCAAACTCAAAATTTGGATACGAGACGTGAATGACACATTCGTCATAATCAAAAGAAACTCATGAGATAAGCATCACAACTTAATAAACAACATTTTTAAACAACATCAAATAGAAGAGGAATCCGAGGGCGAAATTCCACTTTTGGATGTTGATGTGAAGAGGAGATGAAAGCATGTGGGCAGACTTGGAGTCAGGTAAAAACTCTAGTAGAGAATCGAATGCAATGGAGGGGCGCCGCTGAAGCCCTATGTTCCTGTAGGAAGTGAAGGTAATAATAATAATAATCACCCTTGAATTCCAATCATATGTATAAAGGCTTCTTGTCTACGGATGGTAAATAGTCCTTTTCAGCTTTCTCAGTCACATGTTTCCAGATGAATGTGTCTGGATAGCTATTTTCAATCAAGGTACCATATACAATGCATATACAATCTGGATTTCTCAGAGAGTTACAGGTGAAAACAAACAAACTGGTAGGAGTAGCAACCAGTGAAGACATCACTCCCCAGGTGAACATTGATGAAGATAACTGATATGTATCCACATGATGTGTGTGCTTTGTTGCTGACAGTCTATTATATTTTGCTATGTGTATATGGATCGATATTTCATCATAACTGGCAATATGCTTTTGTCTGTCCACTAACTAAATAAACATGTATGACCTTGTTATCACATGACATTACAACCGATCATGGTAAGATGTTATCTTATTGGTTCATGTGTATTAACCATTTTCATATATACTTTGCATTGTACATTTTATCATTAGTGTTCACACACACATTTCGTACTTCGTACCATTTCACTTACACTCTTGTGTGACAATTATTTTCCTTGTCTGGAAAATACAAGTATCATCGTAAACCTAGTGGTCTTCTGATTTCCCTCCTTCTGTGTCATGGCTATTAACTACTCAACGAGTACATAACAATAACCAACCGACAGTAACAATAATCAGCACCGATCACTATCAGATGAAGGAATTTGCCAGGGGTCAATTCATCCACTTATCTAAGAAGCATCGTTACAACACTACAGGCGATTCCCAGGGGTGAGGATATCAAAACCAGGATCGGAGAGGCAACACAGACATTCATCACTCTGCAATCAGTCCGTTGGCAAAATCTCCACTCAGCACAAAAGAAAAACAATCTTAGGATTTTCAATACTAATGTTAGTTCACTTCTTCTACATGAGTTATAAACTTGACGCGAGAGTCACGAAAGTCATCTCCAACAGACTGTTGTCGTCTTTTTTTTCAACAGCTGACTTCTCTGGCTCCATAATAAAGATCAGATGACTGCAAACAATTAGCAACAGGAAACTCTAGGGGCAGAACCAATCAACAACGTATTACTTGATAAATATTCCGAATAAAGTGGAGATAGACTGGACACACGTCCCTGAGGAGACCGTTGGGTGACACCGCGTGCCACAACATCTCTAGAGTGGAACCCGAATGGCAAGCGATAAGTCGGGCATTGGTTCAAGGATGACATAGAGAAGATCATGTGAAGAGGAGATGTCAGACTATGAGGTCAGCTTAAGAGGACCACAGAAAATAGGAAAAAGTGGTGACATGATGTTCAGGCCCTATGAACAACAATAATAATCATAATCTTCAATCACAAGAAGAAATAACGGAATATATATATTAGATAAATACAACTTACACCTGTATTCTTATTACTACTTGCGGTATTATTACCAGTATGCTGTCCATTTGTCATATCAGTCAAGGCTGGCGCTGCAATGAATACAACACATGGTGCAAATTCTGCTGTACGTAATATTTTCAATGCTTGTGGTTCAACATCCAATATAGCAATTAGGCTTGCTGCATGTATTTGCCGTATAGTATCTAATTTAGTGCCATACATTGCACCTTCATGTGCACCATACTCTAAATATTCATTACTTGCTATATCACGCATCATTTCATCATGTGATATGAAATAATAATTTTTACCATTGACTTCATCTTTACGCGGTGATCGAGTTGTATCTGTGTAGAGATATACACAAATAGTGAAGCAGAAAGGAAGATAAAGTACACTGGGAATGAATATTAGTGTTATCAATAAATATATTATATGATGAGAATTAAAATGACTGTTTTTAGTCAATAAGATAGGAAAAAAAAGATGTTTTTATAGTAAAAAAAACAGATGAATAACCTGGTAATAATTAGATGGTTGGACGCAATCGGTAGGAAGCCTTACCTGACCTAGATTTCGTGCTAGTTGGCACTCATCAGTTAGCAAGGCGTATCTGTAACCCCGACGGAACCCACATCCCTTCTGAGATTCGAACCAGCGCGTCAGCCAGTGCTGCAGTCAGAAGGGACTTGAGTTCCTTCAAGGTCGCAGATACGCCTTGCTGACTGACTGGTGAGTGCCAACTTGCACGAAACCTAGGTCAGACAGGGCTTCCTACCGGTTGCCTCCAACCACCTAATAGCAACAATTCACAGTGCACCATGATAGCCAGCCTCCTAACATGGTGGCCACATTGCAAGCTTGACTGATAGAATACAGTCTGCATCGAAGATAGGACTAGACACTTTATACTAGTAAATGACTAGTGTCCAATCAAGAATATATAACTTGTTAGAAAATTATAATGTGAATTGAGTTGATGAATACATTTAAACATTATTTATTATCCTCTAATTTGAGTGGTGGTAATAACATCTTCCATATCGCTGGTATTCGCATTGAGTCACTTCTACTGAATGTGTTGTGTGTAGACTTGATGAGGAAGGATTCAGTATTCAACGTCTCTCTCCACCCACTTAACTACATTACTTTTTGTGACTTTCACTCTTTCCCACGACCCTATTGTGTGGTTGTGTGTTAGTGCATTCAGTGCGATTGCTGAACTTTCTTCTACATTACTTATCTTCATGGGATCAATCATTCTAATCTTAGATAATTTCTTATTTGCTAACAATCTGACTGCTCCTATGTATATATTTGACCTATGTAGCTCACCTCAATCACATTCATTGTAAAGTATTATGTAAATTATATTATTTTGTCTAATTGGGTTGACCGACAGGGTACTTTATCCTACAGAACTTGTCTCTGAGTGAGTGTTTAGGTTTGAATGCCACCGTAATTCCTGCTTTATTAAGAACCCTACGTAGGGCCTTAGATGTCCCCTACTTATATGGTATAACTATAGATGCCTTATATTCTCTCTTATTTATGTTATCATTATTAGTTTCACAATTATTTTGATCCATAATGGAGCCAGACATTTAGTTATCACAAAGCACACTTGCCACTCATTCGTTTCTCAATATGTAGTTGAGCCGGCAGAACTGAGAGGGTGTGCCAGTTACATTTTTGAATTTCTTTATTACGTGATTAGAGGAATTGGAAACATGTATTTGTTTTTGAAGTTTGATCAATTAAGAGAGCTGTCCACTGAAAACCAACTAAGGAGTACTCGGTAGTCAGCTGTTTCGTCTCACTAGTTTGGAAATTGATCGGTAGTGCCCACCCACCACAAGGGTTTGAACCAAAGATATTCCTATTTCAAGGCAAGCTCTCGGATCATCCAGACACTGGGATCCTGCTCAATGGCTAGCCCATGAAATCTAACTCCTACAAATTCGTGATGCATTTAGCGCGACCGACAGCCAATATCATTGATGGCGAGTATTCGTCTTCATTACCAACCGGGTGAACCCTACTAGTCACGACTTCTCACTAGAGCACTCCAGGCAACTTTTGTTCAGTAGCGAGACAGTAACTGGTGGAAATGAAATTAATTTTCAAGACTTCTTTTGTAAGGGTTCGAAACCCGATGGGTGAGTATCACTGGTGAGTACCCAACTAGAGAAAAACAACTGTCAATCACTCTCTGGTTTTCAACGGTACTCTAACTGATACGAATTCGTAATCTTACGTGTGTGAGCACGTAAATATATATATATATATTCATTGAAGTTATCTGTACAGTTATAGGCAAGTCTTTATCCTCTGATATTTTGTGGTACCATATAAATAGAAATCACGAAGAGAGAAGGCTGATAGTACCTAGACCAAAGTAGGTGAAACATCATTCGTGTCCAACACCTATTGCCGAGTTGAAGGGTCCAATAACTTGTGAATTATAACTTCCCTCAATCTGTGACATAGTAGCACCGCCAATATATACTATCTATGTGCATCTGCCTCAAAGGCCACAACGAGTCACTTAACTGCACGCCGGTAGCTGAATGAGCGAATTGTTCACCTCCTAACCTGAAGGCCTTGGATTCGATTCCTAGTGGGGTCGTGGGTGCGCACAGTGATGAACAGTTCCAAACTAAGAAGGAACAACTGTCCAGTACTTATCGATTTCTAATGATTTTTTAACTGCAGTCCTTGAAAAACATCTGAAATATGAATTAGAGGTTCACTAAACGTTGTAATGTTACCAACTAGTGTCTATTCAGATCATATCTAGCTGTCTATATGCCTCTGCATAGCACCAATCCAAAGTGCGTTGAGATGACGAGTTACTCAGCTTGGAGGCCACACTACAAACATGATTGACAGAATTCCTACAACACTAATATTAACGGCCAGATATATGACACAATGATTGCGCCTTAGTGATCATTTAGTGAGTGCACTACACAGACGCCATACCGATCAGTGACTTGGCCATTGTGTCACGAAGGACACTTCGAACAGACTACAGACCTTCATCAAAAGATGTCTTCGCTGAGTACTTCGCTCAAGATCAGAAGGCCGGCCAGAAAACACCAACAATAGTGAGGGATCTCTGAGAGCGAACCAACCCAGCAAGAACCAATTGTGCAACAAATATGCAAGGTTGGATTGACCAAACTCTGAGTAAACAAACCATCAAGTTACATCACACGACAGGCTCTCGATTGGAACCCGAATGGAAAGCGGCGAGTTGGTTGTCAGTACGAGGGTGACATGGAGGACGTCATATGAAGAGGGGATGAAAGCATGTGGGCAGACGTGGAGCCAGGCTAAAAGGTTGGCAGAAAACCGAACGGAATGGAAACATATGGCTGAAGTCCTATGTTCTCCTAGGAACTAAACGAGACAAATAATAGTAAATAAATAAACTGCACATCTGCAGGAGGAAGGTCATAGCGCATATGACTCAACGGTAACGATCCTGACTGCAAAACTGGGTAACGTGGGATCGAGATTCTGCAGGAACATTAGTTCCTCTGAGGTTGCAGACTCATTCACTCGACAAGCACAAAAACTAAGTTAAGCATGGATTCCTGCCGATTGCCTTCAACCGCATTAAATCGGTTAAAAAGTGTGCCGCCTAATGATGAATCATCTAGCTCGCTAAGGACACTACGAATTTGACTGGTGTAATTCGGGTAAGGAAGACTACTGAGGACTAGGCAGATGACATCAGTGAAACACTATTTTTTCATTCCTTTGTGCTTAGAGTGGAATATAAAAGCGCTTCAAGTGAGAGATTTGAAGTTTCTGTAATAGCGTTCTCTAGTCTCATGCCTAACCTTCCCTCTTTATCGGTCTTACTGTCGTCTAAGGGAGGTTTAAGAGTGTACATCGGTCAAGGAATCGAACACGGGTAATGATAGTTTGCTTTTTTTAACTTACGAGGTATAGGATAAGCAAATTTATCCGGAGCTGATTGAATTAAACAATTCTTTATATGACGTCGTCCTACACCATGTGCACCGAGTAATACAAGTGTTCTCCGACGAAATTGTGGTAGCCGGACAACTTCTTCGTAAGTGATTAAATCCAGCTGATCATAGATAGTTGTGGCATGTTTGCCTTTAGCATATTTATCTTTGAATTGACGCTTCCGACGCTTTAACCAGGCACCACAATGTGTAATACCCATTTCACGGGATAATTCAGCTGCTTTATTAGCCATACGCCATTCTTGTAATTCTGGACTAGGTATCAGACCAGCTGGTGCTTGATAATCCGAGCCCCATAAACGAGCCTGAAATATTCAGTAAAACAAGAGAAAAAAGAGAAGAAAGCAAAATAAAAAATCAATATAAGAGATACACATAATATATATTTTTATAGTGAATGAACCACCAGAGTGTTGTATCACTCACTCACTCACTCACTCCTCAGCTTTATTGTTACATTAAGGAAATGACAACTAAGTTGGTTAGTATTTACCTCAAATGGAACTCATGTCGACTAGCCGGCTGACTGACGGACTGACAAAAACCAACCAAATTATCATTATAGAACTTCGCAAAAATGTAAAGAATTTCAATTTGCTATGCTTTATTAGGAGTCTCAGTCTTTAGCGATTGAACTAGCCGGAGATCTTTCAAATTTCTCCCGTTGACAGGGATTAGTGTTGGTTGTTGTTGCTATTGGTTGACAGGTGTCTTCTCTATGTTCACCTGAAGAATCCAGTGTTCGTTGGCTACGTCTTCTTCAGCTGGTTTGTTGGTTTTCACCTGTAAGTCTTCGAGCATGTGTGACATAAGACATTTATCATTCACAAAATCATGATCTTCTAGAGTCTAGAAGCAACAAAGACAGGACTTCAGGTGAATATAGACAAGACGGAGGTAATGAAAATAGCCAATCAACCAACAACAGCAGCACCAACATCCAGCGCCAATCACCATCAACGGGAGGGATTTGAAATAGGTTACTCCATTCACTTATCTAGCGACAGGAAGAACGGACGAGGATGTCAAATCGATCGAGAATCGGGAAGGCGAGCGAGAAACATATTCATCAACCTGAAACCAATCTGGAAATCTTCGTCACTCAGCCAGTATCAACAACAAAATTCAGTCGGATTTTCAATACAAACAATGTCAAGTCAGTCACGTCTTCTATACAGATCAGAAACTTGGCGGGTTGGTCACAAAGAATATTTCCAGCAGCCTGTTGCAGACGTGACCTTTATCAACAACTGTTTTCGCCTGATCTATACTGAAGATCAGATGGCCGGGCCGGAAAGAATCACCAACTATGGGAAACTATGGGCACTAACAAACAAAACAAGAACCAATCGCCAACCAACAAATATTCAGAAGAAAGTGGATTGAGATGGATTGGACACTCGGTGAGGAGGCCGCTGGGTGACATCGCACGCGCGTCAGGCCATTTCTCGAGTGGAATCCGGAGAGTGGGTCGTCAGTGCGAGGGTAACATGGAGGAAATGGTGTGAAGAGGAGTTGAAACAGTATGGACTAACATGGATACAGGTGAAAAGCCTAGCAGAAGACAGAAGTGGCAAGTGGAGACGTGCAGTTGAAGCCCCATGTTCCACTAGGAACTCAAGGGGACAATAATAAATAATAATAATAGAGTCTACTCATCGGTTCAACGTATTCCTGTCTCCTTGCTCTCCACAGACTGACGCATAATCTAATTGTGTTGGTGGACTGGATTATGCGGAAGACTATGCGTAGGGAGCGAGAAGACATGAAGGAATACGTTGAACTGACAAGAAGTTTCTAGAAGATCTGTATTTTGCGGATGATTTACGTCTAATGTCACACAATCTCGAAGACTTCCAGGCGAAAACCAACAGAACGGCTGAAGAGGCTGGCAGCAAAGACAGGTTAGATTTCAGGTCAAAATAAAGAAGACGGAGGTGATGAAGAGATCTGCTAGTCCACAGCAACAATAATCAGCACCAATCACTATCAGTGGGGTAAATTTGAAAAATATTACTTCCTGTACTCATCTAGGAAGACATCGTTTCAACTAATAGTGACAGCACGGATTAGGATGTCAGCAGCAGTATGGGAGAGGCAAGATGCACCTTCAACACTCGGAATTCAGTTTGGAAATGTCTGCCACTCAGTATAAAGAAAACGCTTGGGATTTTCAACACAAATGTTTAGTCAGTCACTCCTTCTAAATAGGTCAGACAGAAACTTCAGGCGACAATCACGAAAAAATAGTTTCATCGAAAGCTGCCCACTTGACTGGCTGAGGACCAAATGGCCGACCAGATAGAATCAGCAGCAAGAAACTATGGAAACAGACCAACCAGCAGCCTATTTCTCAACAAATATGTAGGATGAAATGGAGATGGAATGAACACACGTCACTGAGGAGACCGCTGTGTGACATCACGCGCAGCGTGCAGGCCATCACTCGACTGGAAGCCGAGAGGGAAACAACGAGTTGAGCATCCGAGAGTGACGTGAACGAGATCTTGTAAGAGGGATATAAGAGAGAGATTATGCACATTTGTGGGGCCAGCTAAATGGGATCACAGAAGATGGAACAAAGTGGAGACATGCTGTTGAAGACCTATGTTCCACTCAAAACCCAAGAGAACAATAAATAGATATATATAATGCATAATAAGTAATGCCTCATTAAATCATACAAAAAAGGCGGGAATTCAACGGAAATTCAGTGAGTGTGTAATGATTTCCTACTGTTTGTTTGCAGGGACTTTATTTAATTGCCCAATAGTGACTGATTCCAGGAAGATATTGTCTGCAGTCCTAGTTGGAAGTCGTGACCGGTGCAGTGGGGTCCAACAAGTAGGGCGTGTGGGGTAATATTTACCGATGACATTGTCTGGAGGTGACACTACAGATTGTAAAATTGGTAGAAATTAGAACTGATGGACTGCAAATCAGATTCTATCCCAATGGCCGAATGGCCAACGAACTCACCTCACAACCTGAAGCTCCTGGTTTCGATCTCAAGTGGGAGCTCATGGATGAGTACCACCGAAGAGTCATAAATGGGGAGAGAATAACCGCTCAGTACTCTGTGGTTTTGGATAGCTCTCTAACTGATATTAATTCGCGATGAAACTTGAAATCTATATTACGCAGAAATCTTCCGAGAATACAAAAATTACATGAAGAATATTGAGAATTTAATGGGATTTCATACTCGCCACCAAGAATGAATTAGAGTTACATAACCAACAGTCTCCAGCCACTGGTTCTCAGCGTTTTGAGGATCGGACTAGGCCGGTGCAGACTTCTCCACATGATTAGATCAAACTAGCAGTCAAAGAATTCATGGACAACAGGATTTCATTATGAGCTGACTTTGGTTATAGAACCGTCGGAAACCATTTGGGGGTACTGGACAATTGCTTAGCCCTAGTCTTGGACTCTTCAACAGTACACATCCACCGCCAGGATTCAAATCCAGGACCTTCTGGTTACAAGTCAACTTCGCAGATCATTCAGCCAAATGCGACCCTATACAATGTCTCATGAATTCCAACTTCTACCAGTTCGTCATCCATTCAGCGCGACTGGCACAAGCCAATGTCAATGGGAGCGGGTATTTGTCCTCATACCCGACTTGCTGTACCCCACCGGTCATGACTTCTCACTACAACTCATTGGTTTAGTGGATAGGGTCGCAATAGCCTTATGGTCTACGAGCTAATTCACCTTATAACCGGAAGGTCCCGTGTTCGAACCCTACCCGATCCGGTGAGTGAGTACTTCTGTAACCTAACATTTCTCTATATATCTTGAAGCTTATATAAAAGTCTGTTAATCATATAAAATGCAGAAGAAGGAGAAATATACATGCGCATAAATATGCTGAGGAACAATTTCACTTACTTGCCACCAATTATGATCATCTTTACTAATAATTTGTAAAATATCACCAACATGAAAGTGTATGCCGGCTTGTGTGCATGGTATTAAATCATCATTTTCAGGACTATAATCAAACATTGCACGAACATATATCTAAGAGGGAAAAAGTAATTAAATAAATAAATAAATGGAAGAGATGAAGCACAGTAAAGATAAACAACATACAATTTAATTCACTGGCAATTATTGTTCGTGGGAAATTCCCAATGTAAAATACAGAAATTAAAAAAAACTAGCGATTCAGTGAAGAGACTCTTTCCAACAACGAATTTATCACAGGAATTCATCATGAGCTGACATTGGTTAGAGAACCATTGTAAAACCAGCTGGGAGTACCGGACAGCTGTTTTGTCCTAGTCTGGGACACTTCAGCAGTACGCACCCACCAGGATTCGAACCAAGGACCTTCTGGTTACAAGGCGAGCTGGCTTGTAGACCATTAAGCCACTGGAAACCTACCCAATGGTCCCTGAATTCTAACTTCTGCCGATTCACGACATAGCGTGACTGCTAGCCAATGTCGTCCGTGGCGAGTATTTGTCCTCCCATCCTACTGGTCACGACTTCCCACTAGAACCCCAGGTAACTACCTACCTGAATAGGGTCAGTCGTCAGTGAGCATCTCATTGATATTCAAGTACTGGTTTGTAAGGATTTGGTTGATTGGTCACAGGATTTCATCATGAGCTAACATTGGTTAGAGAACCAATCCCGGTGGGTGCGTACTTTTGAGGAGTCCAAAACTAGGACGAAACATCTGTCTAGTACCCCCAGGTTTTCCAATGATTTTCTAACCAATATCAGCTCATGATGAAATCCTGTAACCAATCAACCAAATCCCTACAAACCAATACTTTAAGAACCAATTTATTATGAAGCTGTACAATCGTATATATATATATATATATTATTATTGTATCCTTTAGTTCCTAGAGGAACATAGGGCTTCAGCTGCGCACCTCCATTGCCTTCGGTTTTCTGACAACTTTTTCACCCTGCTCCAGGTCTGTCCACATGCTTTCATCTCCTCCTCGCATGACCTCCTCCAAGTCACCCTTGCATTGACGACCAACTCGCAGCTTTCCTTTCGGGTTCCACTCGAGTGATGGCTTGTCTAGTGATGTCAATCACTTGATGGTTTCCTTGGAGTATGGCCAGCCAATCCACCTCCATTTCTTCCTGCCTATTTGTTGCACAATCGGTTGCTGGTTGGTTTGCTCATTGCCAGAGATCCCTGTTTCTGATCTTTTCTGGCCATCTGATCTTGAGTATTGAGCGGAGACAGCTGTTAATGAAGGTTTGAAGTTTGTTTGAGATGCTCTTTATGACTCGCCAAGTCTCTGATCCGTATAGTAGCACTGACTTCACATTGGAGTTGAAAATCCGGATCTTATTTTTGATGCTGATTGCTGTTGACCTCCACACAGATTTGAGAGTAATGAAAGCTTGTCTTGCTTTTCCGATTCTGGCTTTGATGTCCTCGTCAGTTCCGCCTGTAGTTGAGACGATGCTTCCCAGGTAGGTGAAGGAGGTTGTTTCTTTCAGGTTCTTCCCACTTATGCTGATTGTTGTCTGTTGTTGTTGTTGTTGTTGCTGTTGGTTAGGAATCTTCATCATCTCTGTTTTATCTATGTTCACGTGAAGTCCTATCTTTGATGCTTCTTCTGCCATATATATATATATATATATATATATATATATTGTTTTTTATAATAAGAAATGGTATATCGTGAGGGAATTGGATCATAGACGTCAATGAATAAAGTAATAATAGTAGTATGAAATGCAATTAAAACATTTGTGATTATTATTATTATTGTTTTCTTAAATTCCTATAGGAACATAGGGCTTCCGCCGTACATCTCTATTGCGTTCGGTTTTCTGCCAACCTTTTCATCTGGCCCAACGCGTCTACCCTCATGCTTTCATCTCCTCTTCTCATCACCTGTTCGTCCATGTCAGCCTCGCACTGACGACCACCTCACCACTTCCCATTTAGTTTTCACTAGAGAGAGAGAGAGAGGGCTTGTCGTGTGATGTCACTCATTTGATGGTTTGTTTTCTCAGAGGATGGCCAGCCAATCCACCTTCATTTACTCCTGCATATTTTGTTGATTATAATCATAGTTAAATGTCAAGTGGCAAAATAATTAATGTCATTATATTTGGAATAATTCATAGGATGTGTAGAACTTGGAAGGCGAGTGCAATTATCGGATTAGTGGGCAAATCGAATAAATAACGTTGTGTGAAATTTGATAACATAGTAGTTAACGTTGTAAAAAGGAATTGATTTAAAATGCCAAGTGGAACAAGTGAAATAATACCGGGGACAATTGAAAGTGAGAATAGTGATATTAGAAATAATTGACCTGATAAAGGAAGAGTATACAAATTGAATAAACAAAACGAAACAAAATTAGTAGAGCCAAAATATGATTAGGGATTACCATACTTTAGCATAGAAGGATTAAGACGATGACAGCTAGGGGGATATGCTGTACAGAGAAATTACAGGAAGAATCCATGTATTCCGAAAAGATGTTGAAAAGTAACGGTTACCCTCAAAGATCTAAAGACTCAAATGTCAAACAAATCACAGCGTGAACAAAAAGTACAACTACATTCAACTTGATTATATAGGTGGAAATATTGCAGCGATTATCAGCAGAAGATTGAGGACGTCACTAGGGACAGCCTAGTTGGTTCCCGTCTATCCAACAACTAGCTCTTCGATGCAATCGACAGACAACAGATATCCTTTTCATGTTAACTCCAACTATATATACAAATTTACATGTATCTGAGGGAGCAGTTACTTTGGAAGAACAGAAAGAAGAAGGGCATACCTCCAATTTTCTGAACAGGTACCAAAAAGGCCATATCTCAAAAGATCAAATGCTTTTGACAGTTCCATAGTCAGGCATCTCCTTGACACGGGTCATGAGGTGGACGTTGCAAGATCGTTCAAAATTATCAATAGGCAAAAGAGTTCAATTCTCCTCAAGTTTGTTGAAGTGATCTACATCAAGCGCCTGAAACCTGATTTATGCGTTCAGAAAGAAGCAGTTATCAATCTTCCTTTGCCCGTGTAACCGGATATTTTCACCTCTCTTTCATCTGATTACGTAATGCCAAAAGTTTCCATTGTGTATGGACAGTATTGTTCGGGATGATTTGTTTATTATTATATATATTATTATTGTATGCATTTGTTGTTTGATTTTTAGATAAAGCAATAAGAAGACGTAATTTGTCTGAATCGTGTAATGTATTTGCGCAACACATTTCGAACAATCTGATCACACACGGACTTGTCATAGGAATATATATATATAAAAATTAATAAAGAGGTAAGAGGTGAGAAAAATAGACTTAGGTCAAGTTAAAAGGACATATTCAAGGTCAAAAAATAAAAATGAAGACCACTAAACCAAATAGCAGAGGTAATAGTACATCTGCTATGGTATCAAAACAAAATTTACCAAGGAAGGTTTAATGTGATGACAAATTGTTTTTGAACGCATAAAGGTGGCTTGAACTTTCTAATTGCTAGGGCTTCTACAAACTTTAGGATACGCCCCAAACACGTTTTATAGATAGGTTTAAAAGATCTGTTAACATCAATTTTATGACCTGTCTCTATAATATGTTTCGCAATAGAAGAGCTAGGTCTCCTGTTCTCACCGTTAATAGGTTCTGATGATTCCATTTGTTTCTGGAGCCATTTTGGAATATGCTCTGAAGCCCTTACTTGCAGAGATCGATGAGTCCTCCCTATGTATGTGTGTCCACACGTACATTCAAATTGGTAAATACAGTGGGATGTGACGTCATTTTTCGCATGTTCGAAGGGCTTAGATAGATATAATGGCTTTACATTCTCTAATATTATGATATTAGCTGCATAAAAAGTCTTTTTAACAGCAGCGTTCAGCCTTTGTCTAGTTATCAAGCTGCTTTGATGTCCCATATAGGGTAGCTTGATGTACACGTCTTTCTTAGGGGCGAGTTGGAGAGTGGGTCTTGGTGTTCTGACTACTTTATATCTCCTGATGAACTTTTCTGGATAATTGTTATCAACCAGAGTTTGTGTCAATTTTCTTTCTTCTTCATCAAGCGTGTCTTCAGTGCATATTCGTCGGATTCTACTGAAGAGGCACCTTACTAAGCCTCTTTTGTACCGAATAGGGCAGAAACTGTGGTAATTAAGATACTGTCCTGTCCAGGTAGGTTTTCTATAAATAGATCTTTTTATTGACCCATCAAGCCGTCGACTAAGCAATATGTCTAGGAAAGATAAACAATTATCTTCCTCTTCTACAGATGTAAGTGATATGCTATTCTGAACTTCATTCATTCGATTTAAAATTGAGGTGGCAGAACAAGGCTTATCACTGATGACTACGATATCATCTACATACCTTCTATAAAGTGGCACATTTTCGATTAAATCTTCCGATAAATTCTCAATGTACGACATATAAATATCTGCTAAAAGGGGCCCTAACGGACTGCCCATAGCAACACCATCAACTTGGCGGAAACAGTCGCCTTCAAATGTAAACCTAACATTGTTAGTACATAGAAGTAATAAATCTTTTAAGTAAGATATAGGGAACGGGATGAAAAAATTGTTTGTGGAAATATAATCACACAAAATGTCAACTGTTTTGATCAAAGGCACATTAGTGAATAACGAGTTTACATCAAAAGAGTACATATTCTTGTTCATAATATTAATATTACTATCATCAAGAACATCAACCAATTCAAATGTATCTTTTGATTTTTGTTTAAAAATGAACTCTGTGCAATTATGCTAAAATTGTTTCTGTTATTTTATTATTATTATTGCTCCCTTGGGTTCCTAGTGGAACATAGGGCTTCAACTGCACGTCTCTACTTGCCACTTCTGTCTTCTGCTGTACTTTTCGCCTGCATCCATGTTAGTCCATATTCTTTCAACTTCTCTTCACACGATCTTTTCCATGTCACCCTTGGACGTCCCACACGCCGCTTCCCTTTCGGCCTGGTTCCACTCGAGCAATGGCTTGATGCGCGATGTCACCCATTGTTTCTGTAGATATACTTAATAATGACTTTAGCCTGTCAGCAGATGATGAGAAGTCAACAAAATAAATGATGGTACCATTTTATCCTGCAAATACTGTTGTTCTTGCTTTATTCATAGTTGAAGGGGCTGAACGAACCCTTTCTGTATACAGAGATCTGTTTTTTTCTGTTTCGATAGCCACGGCTTTAGAAATACAGATGAGTCGGGTGTATGCAGTGATTTGGACAAATTACTTTCCTCCTTGTAGTTGACTTTAAAGGTGGAGGCTCTAGAGATTCTACGTTACCGAATTTCACACAATATTACACAACGTTTTTTTTATTTAATTCGATTTGCCTACTAGTCCCCATAATTGCACACCGCTTTTCAAGTTCCATACATCCTATGAATTATTTTATCTTTGACACCAATTGTTATGTCACTTAACATTTAACTGTGATTATAATCACAAATGGTGGTGCGTCGGTGGTATAGCGGTTAGGACGCTCGCCGACCATGCATATGGTTCGGGGTTCGATCCCCGGCCGGCGCACTCCTTTACCTCACTGAGCCAGAAATAATGCTGGTAAAGAGGAAAGGTTGGGCATGAGGCTAGCAACCCCATCCTGTAAAAATTAAACACTGCTACAGAAACTTCAAGCCACTAGCTTGGAGCCCTATGTTCCACTGGGAACGTGAAGGAAAAATTATTTATTATTATTATTTATTTATAATCACAAATATTTCACTTAGATTTTATACTACTATAATTATTTTATGCATTCACACCTTTGATTCCATTCCCTTGCGAGATACAATCTCTTAAAAAACTAAATACTTAAACGATTGTACAGTTTGATAATAAATTCGTTGTTGAAAAGAGTCTCTTCGCTGAATTTTAGCTTATATTTGGCTTTCTAAACTAGTATTCCCTTGGGTGTGAAGTGAAAAACACATGGCTGTAGCAGCACATCTCCATTTTTACTCATTTCTCTTTAATCCATTATCAGCTAACTCCGCTGGGATTGCTTATAAAAACTTTCACTTCCTTCTCCTCCTACTCCTCTTCCTCCTCACATGTGATCTGCATCATGTGAACCTCAGGCCTCATGCCACAAACTCTTTGTCTTCTACTTCCGGTCAGGTGCCTTGCCCGAGATGTTACAATCAGATTACTGCCTGAATATCAGTCGTACCGTTATATCTGCCGTTTACAGATTAAAAATCGAAATAACTGATCAAAGCTGATTGTGGTGTCCAAACGGTTTTGCAAATTCTAGGAGTTATTGGAAGGTATATATTTCTGTACACAGATTTGGTTAACGCGTTGAATCATTGTGAAATCCCAAGGGATTTAATAATCTGCATATATGGACGGAATAAATTTGAAAGAGATCAGTTCCTTCGCTTGTCTACGAAGCATCGTTTCAACTATAGGCCAGCCGAACGGACGATAATGACAAAAACCAGTTAGAATCGGAAAAGTAAGTCAGAAATTCATCACTTTGAAATCAAACAAAATTCGGATTTTTCAATATCGGTCAGAAACTTGGTGCCCACATCGCGAAAAAGAATTTCTAACATATAACTACCAAATTTTATCAACAACTGCTCACTTCGCTGACTCCATACTAAAGATCAAATAAAATAGCCAGAATGAATTGGCGACAAGAAACTATGGGAACAAACCAACGGAGAACCTAATGCGCAAGAATTATGTTGAAGAAAGTGGAGATGGATCGAGCACACATACCTGAAAAGTCCGTTGAATAACATTCCACTGACGAGAATATCAAAGAGACAAGGATCGGGAAAGCAAGACAAGCTTTTATTACTCTCAAATCTGTGTTGAGGAGATCAACAGCACTTAGCATGAAAATGAAAACAAGATCCGGATTTTCAACTCCAATGTGAAGTCAGTCAGTGCTACTCGCTATACGGATCAGAGACTTGGCGCTTCATAAAGAGCATCTCAATCAAACTACAAGCCTTCATTAACAGTTGCCTTCGCTCAATGCTCAAGATCAGATGGCCGGCCAGAAAAGACCAGCAACAGGGATCTCTGGGAGCAAACCAACCATGAACCGATTGTGCAACAAATTAGCAGGAAGAAATGGAAGTGGATTGCCATATTCTGAGAAAAAAAACCCATCAACTGACATCACTAGACAAGTCCTCGAGTGGAACTCGAAAGGGAAGCCCTATGTTCCTCTAGGAACTAACGGAAATAATGATAAATAATAATAATAAATTGAACGTATAAGCAAAAGTGATATAAAGAAGATCATATGAGGAAGAGATGAAAGTCTATGGAGGATGATAAGGCCTGGTAAAGTGGACCACAGACAGCAGGGCATAGTGGTAATGTTCTGTTGAAGGCATGTGTTCCACTCGAAATAAACCCAAGGGAATAATATTATCAATATTAATAATAATGTTTAACGAAAACACAACAAAAAATTAATGACAACATTCTGAAAATGAATATGCGTATATGCATTTAATGTTAAGAACTTACTTCACATTGCAGTGGGTGTGTTCGATAACTTGGAATAATTTTTAAACTAACATTTCCACGAGCATTACGCTTTAAATTAGAGAAATATTAAAAGAATAAAAAAACAACTTAGGAAATGTATGATAGATAGAAGAAAAAAAGTGAAATTTTAAAGGTTGATATAAAAATAGAAATTGTGGACTGTGGTTGAGCATAACTCCATTATGGATACAGTTTTATTCTGATAAATCACACAGTGTTATACATTATTGTTAACTGATGACCACGTTTCGAGCACAAACTATTGCCAGTCATAATCCCCATATCAAGGCACTACTCACACAACTTTCTAACTTCGTTTATACAATTCCATTATTTTTCATCTCTTAATTTGATTGGTAGTAGTGGTATTTTCCTTATTCCCGGTGTGAGTGATGAGTCATTCCTATTGAATGTGTTGGATGTAAACTCGATGAACAAGGAATCAGTAATCAACCTCTATCTCCCTCCACCTGCCTATATTGATTCTTAGAATTTGAACATAGATGTTTTCACTCTACTTCTCGTGTGTTAGGTGGCATTACATGTGTCCAGTAATAATCGGAGGGCACCCAAACTATGAGTTTATGAAATTACATCGATTGAAATAGCTGATATGTGTATTATGCATGACAAACGAATGCCCCTTTCACAATGGAAATCAGATTGCGGTGGTTACAGGAAATCCTGGAATTCATCCATGAAGTCGTTTACTGTTGGTCTGAGATACAACACAAAGGGAAGTACAGACTGCTTGACTGAGGTCGTCGAAACTCCAAGACATAAAAAATAGTGACTGGAGACTTTTTGAGGTATGGCTTAAAAATGTTGTCAGGGGAGCGGGTGAATTCACTGTCTGTGAACTTGTCGATACATTAAGTCCTCATTGTTCTACATGTAACTGTCCTTTCTCAAAAACATTTCAGTAATTTATTAAAGTTTCTTTGAATTTGTTTTATATCACTGTTATTATGGCATGTACTACTGATAAAATTTATCAGTGGTATATGTGGGGACGTACATCAACACAGAAATATCAAGTAGCCGAAAGATGGATTTGATGTCAAAGACAGTAAATGAATCAGTAAGTAAGGAAGACAAAGAAATACAAAACGAAGAGCAAAAGTAGAACAACATGAAAGATCTGTGGAAATGACGATTTTAATATAAGGTATGCATAATTCCCCTGTATGTGTACATGAAATTGCGGATAAACATTCCTTTTACCAAGTCGCTCGTCTTCTCCCATTGCGCCATATGTCTAATAAAGTGTGGTACCATGAAATGTTGGACATTTGTCCAAAGTTTAACCTCAGTGTGTTTCAAATGTAGTAGTGAAGTGGGGATCCCCAGTAAGATTGAAATGAACACTCATCGGTATTAGAATGACACTTCAATTTGAACTTAGCAGCGTACAGTGAATACTGAGAAGTTAAAAAATGAAAATAGTTAACTTAAAGACTTCTTCAATCTGTAGACAGAATTAATTAAACCGCCTAGAAATTGGAAACTTAACTTGAAGAATCCAGACGGACGACACGATTCAGAGATCAATCAAAGCATCCAATACAGTCCAACAAGAGGTCAGTGGCTAGTTGGAACAGCTTAGTAGTGGTAACGTCTCTGACTGCAGCACCGAGTGATAGGGGTTATAATCTCAAAAGGGACATCAATTCCTTCAAGATTGCAGAAACACCTTGGTGACAACTACCAAAAAGCATAAAACTACAAGTCCAAGACTCCTCATCGATTCCCTCCAACTATTTTACAGCAACGATTGAGAGTGCACAGTGATAGTCAGCCACCTAGCATAGTAGCTACACTGGCAAACTTGTGCGTCGGTGGCACAGTGGTTAGGACTATCACCGACCATGCACATGGTCCGGGGTTCGAGCCCGCACCGACGCACACCTGATATCTGTGGTCGGCCTGCAAAATTTGGGCTACCGATATCCATGCTGAAAATTCCATACTTGTACCAAAAATACAGTGTGGAATCAAGCTGTAAATCAAAAAAAAATATGCGAATTGCGTCTACACTAAACAAAGGACTAGACAAATGACACTAGTTACTATCAAGTGTTCAATCAAAGATATATACATATTTATACAACTGAGGCAATTTTGAAGGCTTCATGAAACTTATCTTGAAGAACACTCAAAACCCTAAATAAGTCATCCAAAATAAGAAGCATTCAACAAAGTGAAACCTTTCTTTTATTAAGCTTATTTTAGACTAATCAGTTTTCTTGAAACTTGCATATGTAGCCAAGTAAAGAATACGGTGCATGATGGGGTTTAGAATACCCAAAAGTGATACTTTATGTGAGGCTTGTCCATGAACCGATATCAGTTGGGGGAACTAGTGAAAAACAACTAGGGAGTACTGAACAGTTGTTTCGTCCTACTTTCACGCTCATCGGCAGTACCTACCAACCACCACCACCAGAGTTCGAACAGAGGGCCTTCCAGTTACAAGTCAGACTCGTAAAACAGCCAGCCACTGAGACTCGACTCAATGGTTATCCATAAATCTTAACTCTTAACAATTCGAGGATCTTTTATTGATGACCTATATTATCATTATTATTGTTCCCTTGGGTTGCTAGTGGACCATAGGGGTTCAACTGCACGTCTCCACTTGCTTCTGTCTTCCTTCTGCTGTACTCTCCACCTGCATCCATGCTAGTCCATTCTGTTTCAACTCCTCTTCACACCATCTCCTCCATGTAACCCTTGCACTGACGTCCCACTCGCCGCGTGCTTCCCTTTCGGTCTGGTTCCACTCGAGAAATGGCCTGACTCAAATGCGATGTCGCCCAGTGGCCTCCTCAGCCAGTGTCCAATTCATCTCAACCCACCCTCTCCTGCATATTTGTTGGTTGGCGATTGGTTCTTGTTTTGCCTGTTCCCATAGTTTCTTGTTGGTGATTCTTTCCGGCCCGGCGATCCAATCTTCAGTAAAGAGCGAAGACAGCTGTCGATAAAGGTCTGGTCTGCAACAGACTGCTGGAAACATTCTTTGCGACCCGCCCGCCAAGTTTCTGATCTGTATAGAAGAACTGACTGACTTGACATTGTTTGTATAGAAAATCCGACTGAATTTTGTTGTTGATGGTGAGTGACGAAGATTTCCAGATTGGTTTCAGGTTGATGAATGTGTTTCTCGCCTTCCCGATTTGACAGTGTCGTCCGTTCCGACTTCCTGTAGTTAAGACAATGCTCCCTAGATAAGTTAATGAATGAAGTAACCTCTTTCAAATATTGATAACCTTTATCCTTAACAAAAACAGAAACAACTAGATGACAAAAATACTCGAAAACCCGGTAAATAATGTTCCATATAAAATATCATTAAACTGACCAACAGTCGTTGTAAGTGTTCAACTGATCGACCAGCTACTGGTTCATTATTAATTTCACGTAATTCATCTCCAACGTGTAGAGTTCCTGTGAAAGAAATCAAGTTAAGGAATGAAAAAAACAACAACAGACAATCGGCAAAGTGTTAGAATGAACAAGTTGTTTTGTTGTTAGCAGTGAAGTTATGATTGATGTATGTACTTGTGTGATATCAACACATTGGACAGCTTTAAGTCGTTTATTTATGGCTTAATCTTCCGAGGACATAGAACCAATCATAGCTGTTCATTTACTTGAGGTTTAGTAAAGTGATATTATTATTATTCCTTCGGGGTCCTAGTGGAACACAGAGATGGCTTAAACATCACATCTCCACATTGTTCTATTTCCTGTTGTCGTCTCTAGCTGGATAGTTACACGATTGACCATAATCTCTCATCTTCTACAACTCGCCACACGATCTCCTCCATGCCACCCTCACACTGACGACCAACTCTTCACTTCTCATTCGGTTTTCACTCGAATGATGGCCTGGCGTGCGATGTCATTTGATGATCTCCTCAGCGTGTGCCTAATCCATCCTCATTTGCTCCTGCAGATTTGTTTGCCACTAGGTTCTTGGTTAGTTTGTTCCCATAGTTTCTTGTTGCCGTTTCTTTAAGGTTGGCCATCCGATCTTTAGTATGTAGCTATCGAAGGTGGAAGCTGTTGATAAAGGTCTGTCACGTGATGGAAATCCTTTTCGTGACACACAGTTTCTGACCTGTATAGCAGCATCAGCTGACTGACATTAAATTTGTGTTGAAAATCCGAATAATCGTTCTTTATGTTGGCTGAGGTGAAGTGCAGAAGATTTGCGAACTGGTTTCAGGTTGATAAAGGTGTATCTTGACTTTCCGATTCTGGCTGGCTGTCTGGCTTTGATGTCTCCAACAGTGCCGACTGCCTGTGGTTGAAACCCTGCTTCTTAGATAATTGAAGGAGATAACCTCTATCACATCTCTTCCGTTGACGGTGATTGGTGCTGGTCGTTGTTGCAGTTGTTTGGCTGGCTGGTTGGTTGGTTATCCTTATCACCTCTGTCTCCTTTATGTTCACCCAAAGTGTGCTCTGTCTTCATTAGCTGCCTGTCTTCAGCCAGTTTGTTGCTTTCTGCCTGTAAGTCTTCAAGCTTGTGTGACATTAAAAACATATTATCATCCACACGCGAAATCCAGATCTTCTACAGTCTTCTTATCGGTTCAGTGTATTCCCTTCTCCTTGCTCCTCACAGTCTAACACATAACCCAGTCCACCACAATAAGGAGTATCATCGGTGATAATAAGCAGCAGCCCTGTATGAATCCTATATTCACTTAGAACACACCTTGTCTAATTTAGTCTGATAAATGTCATTGCGGTTTTTGCTGTCGGTTTCCATAGTTTTTCTCAGTCTGACTTTTATATCTATCTCAGTTTGGTAGATATTTTCAGGTGTTCAGTTGGCTGTCATGTCCTGTTCTGAGAGAACCTTCTAATGAACATAATGGCTTCAGTATTTTTTCACCTGACCCCACAAATGTCCGTAATCTTGCATTTCCACCTCACATGGGCTCCTCCATGTCATCCTCGGACAAACAACCAAGTTCCTATTTCCCCTTCAGATTTCACTCTACAGCCTGAAGTGTGATGTCACTCACTAATCACCTCAAGGTGTGTCCACCCTTTCTATATTTCCATTGATGTCTTCGTTTGACAATAAGTTCTTGATTATTTCGTCGTTACTTAGGCTTCCGCGGTGGGCCAAATGCCTTCACTATGAAGCGAAGAGGGTAAATGTTGATAAAAGAAAGTTCACAGTCTGCTGGAATCGCTTCCCGTGAAGCACCGAGTGAATTCACATTAGTGCTGAGTGTAGTAGAATTCCACACTGATTTCGGAGTAATGAAGGTTTGTCTTCCCATCCAGGCTGGTGTTGACATCCTCATCTGTGACATCGCCTTCCAGGATTTTGCCTGTTGATAAGGTTTGATGCTTTGTCTCTGTCTTCTTTTCAAGTTCACTTGAATGTTCTGTATAAATTTTGTTCAATCTTTCTTATGACAATGATGACTAGTGATATAGTGAAACATTTTCCGCTCCCTTTTAAAAGTAGTCATTCACAAATATAAAAAGTAATGCGACAGAGACAGAGAGAGAATTTACCTTGTCGATGTATCATTCCACCATGTAGAATTCTCGCCACAATACATTTATTTTCTTCATTCAGTTTCAAAGTTATACCCTTTCACAACAATATTTGACGGAAAAAATGAAGAGGAATTAGTCCAATAACAAATGATAGAAATAATAATATTTATAGTTTTCAATAATATCAACAAATTATATTTCATTCTTAGAAGTGTGGCTTATGAGCCTACAACTTCTTTTTCTAGATGGTAGGTCTCAAGTTCTGACGCCGATCCACCTAATCTACTTTCTGTCAAGCTTACTGTGGGGAATGCGGAAGTTGGGTTTTTCGAGGATTGCTAATCACCATTATCAGAAGTGGTTTTGGAAAGCACTGCGAAGGAATCATATATATGCAAATGCGAAGTCTCTTCATCATCATACAATGAATTGTGCTAATTTTATCAGATCAGGTTTGCCCGAACTGCAGCGGAATATTTATTAATCAAATGTCCTCTGTCCTATACGAATCGACTCCGAATGAATGTCAAAGGCTAACTGAATATATCAACTTACTTGAAAAGAAACGGTTGCAGTCTGCCGTAACCCAGCTGAACAACAGTCTTAAGCAGATGAAAATTTACGGCAAATTTCCGGATGGACCCACAAAATTTGTGTCCAATTATTCCTCAGTAACTTTAGCCGACGAGCAACTAGAAGTCCTATCTCTGGGGACAAAACTCTGAGATATCAATTTCGACGCCGAGAAACTTCATACTCGCGTCCAGTTTGAAAATCTAATCAGCCAAACCAACGATCTCAGCCCAACTTCTGAAGACGAGTTACAGAGATTCAAGTCAATAATCATCGACTGCTGCTACCAATACTTGAATACAAAATCAAAAGTCCGCAACCACGAAACAAAGCAGCACCGAGAAGAATCAAAACAGTTGAGAGATAAAAAATATTTGTTAATAACTCGCCCCGACAAGGGTGCCGGTGTAGTGTTTGTTGATCGAAAACACTACATTCAGAAAGTGAACAATATACTGTCGAATGAAGATAAATTTTCCAAACCTTCCAATGAAAGAAACAAGACGGAACAGATTGAGAAGCAGCTCGCAGACGTCTTGAAGAGAATGAAGGCCAGTCAAATAATCAGCGGCGATATCTATGACCAGAGCAGGCCAAAAGGTTCAATAATATTAAGACTTTATTGTCTACCAAAGGTACACAAGGTTGGTCTCCCACTTCGTTCAATTCTGGATATGTCAGGTTCTCCTTTCCACTCTATTGAAAAATGGCTGACAGATATTCTGGAACCTGTAAGGAAACAATTATATACGCACTCGCTCCGTGACACCTTTCAGTTCATCGGCTGCTTACAAGATCTGAATGTATCTAACAAAATTATGCTGTTCTTCGAAATTGAGTCAGTTTTCACCAATGTCCCACTCACGGAAACGAATTACATGCCAAACATTCGAAGATTACTGCTCCTTAAGGTGTTCAGAAGACTCTGCTTCACTTCGTCAGCGTCCTCACCTAGAAGCAGGACTATATATCATCTGTATATTCTAATTCTCAACGAGACTACTGTCTGGTAACAAGTCAATCCCTGAGTCGCTGAAGTCAGTTTGGGTTAAGTCCATTTGTATATGCATGATGAAATTAAACAGAGATAGGGACAGTCGACTGACACCTCCAACAGACAGCAATGGATGTCACTTCTTCAAAGTTCAAATCTACGATGAAACGGTTGTCCAGTACTCCCCATTTTGGTTTTCCAATGGTTCTCTAACCGACATCAACTCATAATGAAATCCTGTGACCAATGAAATCCCTACAAACCAAGACTTGATGAAAACAATTCAATCAAATGAGAACAAGATGTTTTTGATGTAGTTGTGTTCTCTAAGCTGGATAGTTAATTTGCCAAGCTTTCATCGCCCTCTTCTAGACAACATCTTCAGCGCAAACTTCAATTCAGTGAAGTGAGCTTTCAGATTTCTCCATGAGTTAATTAGTCATCTTTCCTGGTGACCTTCAACGTCGTGATTGGTTGTCTTCGTGTGTTTTCACACCTTGTAGGTTACGTGCATTGGAAATAATTGTTTCTTTGACTTGAACTTTGACCCTTTGTGTGTGAGGTTTCTTTCTTATCGGTTGATAAATTTTGTCTATCTCGATGTGTCTATTGATTGATGATTCACTGAATGCCAAGCTTCTAAAACTTTTCTAGAATTCTTGTTGTTTCCTCTGTCTAATATTTGAAAGTTGGTTGTTCCAGTCGAATTGTTGTCCGTGGTTGTCTGTATGTAGTGGTATGAGGGAGTGGATATCATATCTTTTGACGGCGAGCTCATGCTCGTGGATACGAAAACGAAGGGGACATCCTTTTTGGCCACTGTAGTGTTTTTTGAAGTTGTTACAATTTATTTTGTAGATGATGTTGGTTTTGTTTTCTTTCGCTGTTGAGTTTTTTGGTTGACATAGAATTGAGTGAAGTGACTGAGTCACTTATGTTTTCGAGCCTTTGCTTCGTCTCCGTATCCACGAACATAAGCTAGCCGTCAGAAGACATAATATCCACTCCCTCATACCACTACATACAGACAACCACAGACATCAATTCGACTGGGACAACCAACGTCTAAATATTAGACAGAGGAAACAACAAGAATTCTAGAAAAGTTTTAGAAGCTTGGCATTCCAGTGAATCATCAATCAATAGACACATCGAGAGAGATAAAATTTATCAACCGATAAGAAAGAAACCTCACACACAAAGGGTCAAAGTTCAAGTCAACGAAACAATCAGTTCCAATACAAGTAGCGTAGAAGGTGTGAAAACACGAAAACAACCAATCATATCCAAGGTAACCAGGAGAGATGAATAATAAACTCGTGGAGAAATCTGAAAGCTCACTTCACCGAGTTGAAGTATGCGCTGAAGATGTTGTCTAGAAGAGGGCGATGAAAGCTTGGCAAATTAACTATCCAGCTCAGAGAACACAACCACATGAAAATCATCCATCTAAGCTACAAATCTTCTCTATCATATCGAAAACAAAATGAGTAATTTATGCAAGCCTACCATTGGTTCATCTGTATTTTTTTGAAATTGTACCAATCGAACACGTGTTACTTGTGGTTGTTCCGTATCTGATTCCATATGATCATCTTCATCGCCATTTAAGAAGGATGACAATGGTGGTGGGGTAACACGGATAGCTTCAGGACCATAAACTTCTTGAGCTATTACATCATAGGTTTGAAGTAATGCCTGTAGAATACAATGAAAAGAGAGATAAACCTAAACTTGATCGGGGCCACTGTTTTTATTATATGATTTATGCAGTGATATTGATTTATAAAACAGAAAAATTAATATATGCGTAAAACTTGGGCACTGTGGTAGTAAGTCATTCCATATTAGTTTGTTTATTAGATGTATCACACAGTCAGTCAGTGAAACAGTATTATTATTTACTGGATGACACAATTTTGAACAAAATTCATTATTCTTCATAATCATATCATCAATTATAATCACTTCGAAACTTGAGTTTTATAGTTTTCTTTGTTCTCTCCTATTTGTCGTCGTTGGGGTAGTAGAACTTTCCAGATATCCGACTGGACAGGTGTTGAATCATTCCTATTACATGTATTTGCAGTTAATTCGATAAACAACGTAAAAAGGAAAGAAGATGGGAAGTTAAACACTAGTGCTTACAGGAAGCCCACACATTCAAACAGATATTTGGACTTCCGATCATCCCACCCAGTCTATGTCAGTGAAAATAGGATTGGTGAAATGTTTAAGTGACAGAGCACAAAAACTGAGCAGTACCAAGGAAAATCTAAGACAGAAGCCTTGAAACTTAAAAATTACTCGGATAAATTAGTCAGGAAATATGTAACGAAGTGTAAAAATGAAATAAATAATGGTAGTAGAGATAGTGATAATAACAGTATTATTGACGACTTCAACAATAAGGAATCTAAATCATCAGTAGTAATTCCATAAAAGGAAGGAGCCTCGAAAACCACCTTACTCAGAATTCTTAACAAGGCAGGAATAAAGGTAGCTGGTATTCAAACCCACAAACTCAATTAGAAACAAGCCCTGTCGGTTAAAGGATCCTGTGGAGCCTTTATAAAAAAACAATTTAGTCTATCTAATACCCTGCTTCCAATGATTTTCAGGTCAAATACATAGGTCAGACTAGTAGAAAAGGGTCAGTCAGACTAGCAGAACATAAAAACCTAGCAAAATCTAGATTAGTTGACTCGAATAAAATAAGAAACCTGGAGAATAGTTCAGCTATAGCACACTAAATGCAATTACACACATCCATACAATAGGATGGGATGAGATGACTGTCTTAAATTCTAATGTCACAGGGTGGAGGGAGAGATGGGTAACAGAAGCTTTGTTTATCGAATCAACTGACAGGGAATGCGTGTAATAGGAATGATTTAACACTTGTCCGAGATATCTGTAAAATTCTGCTACCCCAAAGACGACAAATAGGAGAGGACAAAGAAAACTATAAAACTCAAGTTTCAAAGTTGTGTCATTATAATTGATGAAATGATTATGAACAATAAATGTTGTTCATAACTGTGTCATCCAGTAAATAATACTGTTTCATTGTGTGATATTATATCTAATAAACAAACTAATAGAGAAAAACAGAAAAAGTTTGAAGTTAGGACGTTAACAACTTTTCGATTGATTTGCAGTACCAGTTGATTGGTTATTTTGGAATAGAATGTTAGTTCTGCGTGTTGATATGCTGGCTACCTAGGCAACGGACGCTTTGACGATGTGTAAATATTAGTGTGATTACGGTTGGATGGTAGTGGCTAGCAGTATGGAATCGAAGATGCATATATCCCTCTTATTTTTATTGTGACTCATTAGATATGAATGTGAACGAAATATTCCCATATTGAGTCATAAGAAACAGGAGACGTAAACAGCGAAGAAGAAAAACTCTCTTTTTTGACGATTCATTTACGCAAGCTGCTGTACACTAATCGTAATCATACATTTTTAACAAAAAAAAATCTTTAAACCAATCAGATACTGGTAAAATTTGTCCTTGAAAAAGGTGTTACATAATGTTAGGTGTAACCTAGAAAGGTTGATTAATTGGGAGTGAGAAAAGAGGCAAAAGTCGGTATGACGTAATAAGTGTGAGATAATGACTGATGAATAAGCTCGTATAGAATTGACAGGAACTAGTGGAAAGGCGATAAAGTGCTTTTTACTTAAAATCTGCATGAAAACGCAAAGTTATTAATAAACAGTAATAGAGTGGTAATAAAATATGGATGATGGGAATAATAATGATGATAATGAAATAATAGTAGTAATAACAAAAATAACAGTGAATTTACATAATAATAAAAAGAAGCAAAACTATAGTAAGAACTTTACTGTGACCACTGTAGGGCGAGAGAATGTATGTCTCACTTTTGAATGCAGAGGTCCGGTTTCAGCTCCTGAATAGCTAATGCTTCAGATATATACAGATTGCGTATGTAAAGTCCCTTTGTACGATATTGAGGGACGCTGTGAAGCATTGATGTGGGGATGCTCGATATCCACAGATGACTAGGTGTTCGATGATGGAGCTGCTATTATTTTTTCCCTTTGGCTAACCAAGCTGGACAGTGTTCGCTGTTTATGTCTTTTTCTTATGACTCATCAGAGACATGTACTTGTGCGTCGGTGGCACAGTGGTTAGGACTCTCGCCGACCATGCACATGGTCCGTGGTTCGATCCCCTACCGACGCACACCTGGTATCTATGGTTGGCCTGCGAAATTTGGGCTACTGATATGCACGCTGAAAATTCCATACTTGTACCAAAAATACGCTGTGGAATCAAGCTGTAATCAAAAATAAAATAAAAATAAAAAAAAAGATTTCTAGTGTCAGACCATTTAATCTTTAGGGTCTGTTGACCTCATTGAATCACTTTTTTGATGGTGTTATCAAACTAATACTTTATTGTACTCTGATGTTAAACGGTTTGTGAGAAAACTGCCAAGAAGCCCTCCCTGACGTAGGTTAAATGCTTTTTAATACTGGCCAGACAAAGAATATTGACAACCGGTCCAATTCACTCAGTGCTATTACTGATTTATTCTTTAGCAACAAATCTGTGTTCTTATAAAAGTACTACAGGTTAATCGATACTCGAATGGCTTAATAGCAACGTCTCTAACAGAAAGGCCTTGATGATAGGGGTTTTCCCGCATCACTGACATAAAATAAGAGTCACATTGAGTTTGAAGATGCAGTTTGTTGATGAGTCAGTTGACAGACATGGAATATGTAACAAGGGCTCCCCGCCGATTTCTTCCAATCATTCGAAGAAAACCATGCTTCCATGGATGACACAGTAGGTTATTCTAGTAATGTTCTGACGACTGAACAGCTGCAATTCGTAGAATCACAAGGAAATGAATGAAGTACAAAATATTATTATTAGTTTATTATTTATTGTTCCCTTGGGTTCTGAGTGGAACATAGAGATGGCTTCAACCACACATCTCCACTTCGTTCTGTTTTCTGCTTTTCTGTTTAGCGGGGCATATGATTGCTCATAAACTCTTATCTTCTCCTCACACAATCTCATCCATGTCACCTTAGCACCGACGACCCACTCATCGTTTAGCATTCGGGTTTCACCCAAGCGATGGCCTGGGAAGCGATGTCATTCAACGGCCTCCTCAGCGTGTGCCTAATCCATCTCTATCTTGCTTCTTTAGATTTGCTTGGCAATAGGTTCTTAATTAGTTTGTTCCCAGCCTGAGTTTATTTTTGCTAATTCTTTCTGGCAGGGCAATATGCAGCGCAGACAGCTTTTACTGGAAGTCTGTATTAGCCGGTTGGAAATGCTTTTCATGACGTGGGCGCCAAAATTCCGATCCATATAGGACAAGCTCTGTAGGCTGAAGGAACCTGTCGGTTGATCCAATTAGACAAAAGAATATAATTTAAAAAAAAGTACTTTGCAATGACTATGAGTGAAGTCGATTGAATTGAGTCAAACTGTTAGATCGGGCATAGTCAGATTGACTGTCAGAACATTGTCAGAATTTAGCTAAGGTTAAAATTAATGACTCCACGAAGATGAGTAATATTGAAAAAAAAAGCTCAGCAATAGCACTGCGTGCATTAACACACACAATGATACAATAGTGCTGGAGAGGGTTAAAACTCTAAGAAGCAATGTAGGTAGGTGGAGAGAGAGAGAGACTGATTACTGAATGCTGGTTCATCGAGTAATCTTAACTTAATACATTCAATAGAAATGACAACGCAAATACCAGAGCTAAGGAAAAAACATTGTTACCAATATTTATAAAGTTATATTTGTAAAATCTCAGCGAAATTGAAATGATTAATTCCAACGTTTCGTTCGGCAATCTGGTCCGAACTTCTTCAGGGAAATTAATCGAAATTAACATAACAAAGTTTATATATAAAGGGACACCTCTTGTTTTTTAAAATTCTTGTCCAATCATGAATCATGCAACAGGTATCAACATGTATCATAAATAAATAAATATAATTGTATGTTTATACAAAAGTACAGTCAATAGGTATGCTAAACAAAACAAAACAAAAATTGTATGAACTATGATCAAAAAACTTTTTGACCTCAGACTTTCAAAATTTGTCTACTTTTGTTAAAATATATGTGTGTATGCAGTATATGCAGGATACAATGGTGTGCGTATGTGTGTGTGTGTGTGTGTGGGTGGGTCGAACAGTCATAAAACATTTGCTATTCTCATATGAGCTGTGATCAAGATTTGACCGGATAGTTACAAAAAAGTGACATTTTTATAAATATAATTTGATTTTTATAGATTTGTTATTCTCTACATAAGACGTAGACAGTCAGGAATTTGACTAAGTGTGACTACTTGGTCATACATATCAAATTTTACTTTGTTTATTAGTCAGGATTTGCCATGCATCGGCTAACATCACACCTTCACGTCTGTTTAAACTGTTGGGATTCACCCATATATGTAGGGCTTCTGCAGTTAGTCTTTCTTGATATGAACCAAAACCTTTTTGTAAAACCTTAGTCTTATCAAAGTCGATTTTGTGTCCTGTTTCTATTGAATGTAGCGCAATCGCTGAGTTGTTTTCTAGCTTCTTCAAGTCTGCAGAGCTCTTTGGAACCACTTTTAGACATTGTTTATGCTCTTTCATTCTTATATTTACCTGTCTAGAAGTTTCTCCTACATATACTGCGTTACAATCCCCACAATTGATCTGGTATACGCAATTCTGCTGGTTTTCTTGTTCTATTTTATCCTTAACCTTCACCAGCAATGAACTTAAGGTGTTAGATGCACGAAATTAATTTCCCTGAAGAAGTTCGGACCAGATTGCCGAACGAAACGTTGGAATTAATCATTTCAATTTCGCTGAGATTTTACAAATATAACTTTATAAATGTCTACTTCTCACTCAGCGCTCAATTATTTTGCAACTATCCGATCAAATCTTGATCACAGTTCCTATGGATTGTTACCAATACTTTGAATTTCCTAGAAACACTTTGAATTATTATTCTAGTATGATTACTATGCAGTTCTCCACATTTATGTTTGTTTTCACAATCAATCTATGGTGAAATTGAATTGACTCACTTCAGTTTAATGTTCTACGCTGACTTATTAATCAGTCAACCATCGTCTAATTTAGTGATCTTCAAATGCCAGACACCAAAATATCGATTGAATTACCATTCTATTAATTATGGATTAGTGGTTAGGGTATTATCACACACAAGCAGTAGTCCCCCTGGATCAGAAGTCATGCAGTACTAGTACTCCTTCTGTTCTGAGAAAATAACTTCCGCAGAGTGTCAGCAGTCAGGAGGTATTGACAGTTCATACAGACTTCTATAAAGCAAAAGTACCTTTCTTGTCTATCAGCCGCCGTCATCTTCTTCTAGCTTTACTGACAAAAGTTGATACTTACTATTCAATTCAAATGTAATAAAATGTTATCAGAAAACGTACAAAAAATGTATAAGTCACTAATGTTTTGGCGTTTGAAACGATTGGTGCAAAGCTGATGTCTTAATTGGAACACAATCACTCATTGAGAATGCAGGTACATCCAGTGGATGAGTTTTAAATACAACGCGACGAATATCTTGGATTCCACTGTTAATGATCACCCATGTGAAGAGAGATTATCTAATTGAGTCTATCTATCTGAATATTCAGAATTAATGATTTCAGAGTTATCGGTAACATGCGTCGAAATTGTTCAAAATACCCGAAAAAAACTATTCAATGTTTTATGTGTTAAAACTTTGAATTTCTTTTAAAGTACTTTGATAAATTATTGTAGTATCCCTACATTGGTGTTCTCCACAGCTGAACTGATGCATTTCAGTACAATGTTCTACGTTGACTTATTAATCAGTTAGCAGTCGTATGATTTAGTGATATTCAAGAGCTAGAGACCAAGAGAACTTATTATGCTTCACAACTTGTTTTCCTTAACACCACTAAGCAAGTGCTTCAACAATCTGGGAAAGACCAGTCGCCAATCCTCGACACTTCAAACTGTGTATATCAATTTGACTGTGTTTGTGGAAGCAAATACATAGGTCGTACGGAAAGGCGATTGTCTACTCACATGATGGAGCATTTGCCAAATGGTTGAAAAGAGATGAGGGCAAAGTGCCAAAATTCTTAATAACAAAACATCTAGTGGATTACGGACCTAATATCGACGCGGTCAAGTCACTCACCATTGCCAGTAGACAAAGAAAAAAGAAGATGCTTGAAATTGCGGAGGAGGCTTGTGTAATTCGAGTTCATAAACCAGGTCTCTGTGTACAAAAGGAGATGGTCATCAGTATGAATCTACCATGGTAATACGTTTTACTTATTATTCTACCTCTTTTCATTATTATTATCATTGTTATTCTTGATTCATTTAAAACTATCCTTTATCAGTAGGATTATATTAACTAACTTCAACATTATTATTATTGTTATTATTATTATTATAACTTTTACTATTGAAATTAGTCTGTTTGCAATTCTTGTTATATTCTCTAATGTCTAATTGTTTATCTAAGTGATGTAATTGAAGCGTAATGCAATTTATCTTAATTTCAATCCCTCATACACCCTTCCCCCCTTCTTTATTAGAACATGACCTGGAGAACATTCGCACCCATCTTTCTGCATGACTAATTCAATGTAGTTTATTTGTTTATCAGTCTTATATCTCCCAATGTAATTTCAATAGTATACATATCCGTGTATGTAGAGTGTTCAGCTGACGAGTTCTACCGATATTTAATGAATTCATTAAATCATGCTTTATTACGCTTTATTGCTTGTTTTAAATTCTTATCGGGAAATAAATGTTTTCAATATTACTCATGGGTTACTGGTTAGGCTATTATCAAATCATTCCAACACTCTGCATGTGTATGTGTGTATGTGATCAGTTTCACAAGCAGTAGTCCCCTTGGAACCACCACCATCTTCTTCTGCCTTTGCTGACATTGTTGATAGATACTGTTCCCTTCAAATATAGTACAATGGTATCAGAAGACAAATAAAAATGTATAATTCACGAATATTTCAGGAAAAGAAAAAAGTGACATTAACTTACTCGAAAATGAGGTTGTTTCATATAAAATCTTAACTCCTCAGCGGTTTGTCCCAGTTCTGTTTTATTCAGTATATTTAATTCTGATAAAACCTAAATTTTGTTTTTGACAATCAAAATGAGTAACATAAAGAAAATTATTAGGTCTGCAGTACTTTTGGAGGATACAAAAGCTTGGTGGAACCGCTTATTAAATAGCGTTTTGTGGGAATTCACAGATAGAATACACTCACCAACCAAGGCATACATAGTACAGGGTTCGATGCCCAGCCGACAGACACTTAAACCTCTCAGGTAGCCGGTATTAAGCCAGGTAAAAAGATGGAACGTTGTGAGGACGAAATATTGCTATTAATTTGTTTATTAGATATATCACACAGTCAGCAAAATAGTATTATCTACGGGATAACGAAGTTTCGGACACACGCACAAAGTGTCACACTAGAAGACATAGTCCAAGGAGTGCGACTATGCCTAACTTCTAAATTATTTTTTTTTGCTCCAAGGGAAAATATACAAATAAACTAAGGGATTGGTTATGTGTTCACTTATTTCTTCGATAACGTCAGGCATATTTATGAATAGGTGGGTAAATTTAGTGATTGAAACGTTGAACCACACCAGTAAATTATGGTGGAGGTATGTAGATGACAATCGGGAAGGCGAGAAACGCACACATTCATCAACCTGAAACTAACCAATCTGGAAATCTTCGTCACTCACCCAGCATCAGCAACAAAATTCAGTCGGATTTTCAATACAAACAATGTCAAGTCAGTCAGTTCTTCTATACGGAACGGATCAGAAACTTGTCGGGCGGGTCACAAAGAATATTTCCAACAGCCTGTTGCAGACGTTGCCTTTATCAAAAACAACTGTCTTCGCTGGATCTATACTGAAGATCAGATGGCCGGGCTGGAAAGAATCACCAACTATGGGAACAAACAAACAAAACAAGAACCAATCGCCAACCAACAAATATGCAAGAGAAGGCGGAGATGGATTGTACACTCGCGCGGGCGTCAGGCCATTTCTCGAGTGGAACCAGACCGAAAGGGAAGCACGCGGCGAGTCGGACGTCAGTGCAAGGGTGATATGGAGGAGATCGTGTGAAGAGGTGTTGAAACTGTATTGATTAACATGGATGAAGGTGAAAAGTACAGGAGAAGGAAGACAGAAGTGGCAAGTAGAGACGTGCAGTTGAAGCCTTATGTTCCAATGGGAAGCAATGGGGAACAAGAATAATAATACATAGACGACATATTCACTGTAGTTAGAAAGCAAGACAAATAGATACTCCCAACACATCAACTCAAAGGTGGAGGCAATTTAATTCACTTATGAATTAGAAAATCAGAGAGGGGAGCGTTCAGTGTTAGATTGTAGTGTAAAAACGTAGAAAACATTGGAAGTTAAACACTAGTGTTTTTTTAGGAAACCTACACATTCAAGCTGATATTTGGGTTTCCAACCATCTAATCTTATTTCATTAAAAATGAAAGTGGTGAAATGTCTAAGTGATATAGTAAAAAAAAAAAGTATTAGTGTGCAGGAAAATCTAGGACAGGAAGTGAGAAATATAAGAATAGAAGCTTTGAAACTTTATAACTACCGCGATAAATTAATTAGGAAGTACATAGGAAGATTTAAAAATAAGATTATTAATTCTAGGAGTGACAGTGATACTAATAATAATATTAATGACGACATGCATGAAAAAGATATACACAGTGATGACATCATCAACAATAAGGAACTTAAATCATCAGTAATACTTCCATACAAAGATGGAACTTTGGAAACCTTACGTAAATTTTGGAGAAGAGTTCAGCCGTAGCGCACACTACATGTAATTACAGACAACCATACAATAGGATGTATGCGTTGGTGGCACAGTGGTTAGGACGCTCGCCGACCATGCACATGGTCCGGGGTTCGATTCCAGGCCACCTACGCTCTCCTTTAACTCGCTAAGCCAGAAATAATGCTGGTAAAGAGGAAAGGTTGGGTATGAGGCTGCCAACCCCATCCTGTAAAAATAATCACCACTGTTACAGAAACTTCAAGCCACTAGCTTGAAGCCCTATGTTCCACTGGGAATGTGAAGGAAAAATTATTATTTATTATTATACAATAGGATGAGTGGGATGAAATGACGCTTCAAAAATCTAATATACCAGCAAAGTGGAGAGAGCAGGATTGATTGTGCGTCGGTGGCACAGTGGTTAGGACTCTCGCCGACCATGCACATGGTCCGGGGTTCGAGCCCACACCGGCGCACACCTGATATCTATGGTTGGCCTGCAAAATTTGGGCTACCGATATCCATGCTGAAAATTCCATACTTGTACCAAAAATACAGTGTGGAATCAAGCTGTAAATAAAAAAAATAAAAAAAATAAGACAGAGGAAGTTTTATTTTGTCGAATCAACTGAAAGCCTCTGCAGTAGAAAAATGATTCAGCCCCTGTCCACTTGAACATCTGGAAAATTCTACTAACCCTATGACGACGAATAGGACAGGACAAAGAAAAGCATAAAACGAAAGTTTCGAAGTTGTGAAGTTAGCATTGACTGATATGATTACGTACGAACTATGATGGACCGCGTTCGAAATTACGCGATCCAGTAAATAGTAATGCTGTTTTACTGACTGTGTGATATACCTAATTAGCAAATTAATATGAAATTACGCACTACCACTAACACAGTGCTCAGATTTTTCACACAAATAATAATGAAACTAAATATCTATCTTAAAAAGGATATCCAGATAACATTCTGATTTCATTAGGAACCACATAAATAGCATGAAATTGTAGCTAATTAAGCTTCAATGTTCAAGGGGGCAACTTCATATCTCTGACAAATACAGCCATTGAGTATTTATTATGCAGTTGTTCCAAGAGTTAACTGAATGTTGTACATCCCTAGGTTTGTCTAATCTTTGCCTATAAATGAATACAATAAGGCTTTTGCCTGTTATCATGTGTTCATAGCTATTTTGTATTTGCATTCAGCCTCGGGGGGTATTTCATCTGGTCCAGCTAGCTGCTTTTCCAGCTTTCAGAGGCTTGATTGTATTCTAGACTTCAGCTTTCGTTGGAGGACTAGTGTCAACTTGCAGTTGTGTACGTGCTGTTGTTGGTATTTCTGGACGGGTTGCAGGTGGTGGTCGGCTCAAGAGTCTTTCGAAATGATCCGCCCATCGTTTAATATGTCTTTCTTCCTCGGTAATTGGGTCCCCTTGCCTGTCTTTTATAGGTTTCGCTTGTGTTGATCTCTTCCAGGATAGAGACTTGGTTAACTGACCGGAGAAAATGTTACCTTGTGAAACTACCAAAGAAGGGCGACTTAGGACTCTGCAAGAAGTGACGAGGAATCATGTTCCTGTCGATGTCAAGTAAAATCCTGAGTCGCATCATCCTGGAGAGAATAAAGGACGCATTGGATACAGAAATTCTACCAAAACAAACTGGAATCAGGAAAGGCAAATGATGTTCTGACCAAATTGCAACTCTACGCATCATCATCACAGAACAAAGCATGGAATGGCAATCAAACCTCTACCTCAACTTTATAGACTTCGAGAAGGCCTTTGACAACGTTGACCGCGAAGTAATTTGGAAACTACTCAAGTACTAGGGCGTACAGTGCCCCAAATATTCATCGACCTTATTCAACAGCTGTACGACAACGGCGGCACATGTCAAGTGATCCACAACGGAAAACTCAGTGAGGCGTTTGGAGTAAACACAGGAGTAAGACAAGGCAGCCTGCTTATTATCACCAATGATATTCCTATCTGTGGTCGACTGGATTATGCGTCCGACAGTGAGAAACGAGAAGACAGGGATATCCTGGACCGACCGACGTGAAGAACCTAGAAGACCTGGATTTCGTGCGTGGATAAATCATGTTTGATGTCACACAAAATCGAGGACTTACAAGCGAAAACTAACCGACAAACTGGTCGAAGAAGCAGCCGGCGAAGACAGGACTTCAGGTGAACATTGAAAAGATGGAGGTTATGAAAATAACCAACCAACCACCACCAACATCAACAATAGCAGCAACATCCACAGCCCATCACCAACAACGGGAGGGATTTGAAATAGGTCACTCCATTCATTTATCTAGCATTGAGCATTGTCTCAACTACAGGAAGTCGGAACGGACGGCAATGTCAAATCGAGCGAGAATCGGGAAGGCGAGAACCACACACATTCATCAACCTGAAACTAACCAATCTGGAAATCTTCGTCACTCACCCAGCATCAGCAACAAAATTCAGTCGGATTTTCAATACAAACAATGTCAAGTCAGTCAGTTCTTCTATACGGAACGGATCAGAAACTTGTCGGGCGGGTCACAAAGAATATTTCCAACAGCCTGTTGCAGACGTTGCCTTTATCAAAAACAACTGTCTTCGCTGGATCTATACTGAAGATCAGATGGCCGGGCTGGAAAGAATCACCAACTATGGGAACAAACAAACAAAACAAGAACCAATCGCCAACCAACAAATATGCAAGAGAAGGCGGAGATGGATTGTACACTCGCGCGGGTGTCAGGCCATTTCTCGAGTGGAACCAGACCGAAAGGGAAGCACGCGGCGAGTCGGACGTCAGTGCAAGGGTGATATGGAGGAGATCGTGTGAAGAGGTGTTGAAACTGTACTGATTAACACGGATGAAGGTGAAAAGTACAGCAGAAGACAGAAGCAAGCAAGCCCTATGTCCCACTTGGAACCCAAGGAAACAATAATAATACAATAATAATAATACCTTACCCCAATTTTGTTTTCTACATCCACATCCGTGGTTTCCCCTCAATTTGAAACGATTCTGACTAAATAAATGAAGGAAATGAGGCCTCTTTATCATCCGGATGTTGACTTGAATTCCTGTCTTTACTACAAGGTACACCTTCAAAAACCTGAAATCATTTTGGAAATCTTTAGCACTGCACTCACCCAGCATAAAGAACAAGGCCTAGGAATTCCTACAACACAATTGTGAAGTCAGTCAGAAACTTTGCCAGCGTGTCATGAAAAGAATTTCCAACAAACTACAGGAGACTTTGATTAACAGCTGCATTCACTGGCTTCATATTGAAGATCAGATGGCCAGCCGGTCAGAAAGAATTAGCAGCAAGAAACTCTCGCTGGTTGGCAACAAACCAACAGGAGAGAGCCGATCGCTCAACAAATAGAGGCAGGAGAGAAATGAGATGAATCCGGTATACGTTGAGGAGGCCATCAAAATAACATTGCGGTCAATGCAGGCCATCTCTAGAGTGGAATATCAACGGGAAGCGACGAGTGGGTCGTTGGTGCGAGGGTGACGTGGAAGAGATTACGGGCAATCGTGGAGTTAGCCAGCTGAAGAGGACAGCAGAGAATAGAAGTAGCGATCCTTATGTTTCACTCGGAACCCAAGGGAATGGTGATAATAATAATAATAAATATTATGTTTCGTATACAATTGGCTAGCAGTGGAATTCAGGATGCGCATTTCGTCCTAATTGGGACTCGTCAGCTGAGACCGAGCACTTCGGTCCAATCAATCGACGGGAAAATCAAGAATTCAATTCAATATTATGTTTCGATTGTTAAATAAAACAAAATCAACATACCTCAGCCCACTTTTCTGTTGCATCAGCAGGAACACGGAAATCACTACCAGGTGACTGAGTATTTATATGATCGTACAACTGTAAAAATGTAGAATTAATCAATAAGGTAAATTTGATTTTTTTTGAAACAAATTAAGAAATTATACAAAACTTTAGCATAGACTTTAAAAATATTACCTTTCATATATTTTTATAATTTAACTGAATAAAAGTGCCCATTAAAATTTTTTTTCAAAAGAATGGATACTGAACAAACAGTACTCTTTCCGATAACCCTTCATCATCAGACTCTACAGTTATATGTACATTATAGTGGATGAATGAATTAGTGTTATGAACAACATTAATGTTGCTGTTTAAATAACATCGAATCAATAATATCAGTAGATTACAGCTAAATAGCATCAATATAAAATAAGCTGAATGTCAGAAAGAATTAGGAAAGATAATATTACGAATAATTCATGAATTTATAGTCTCTACTGAAGGCCGGCCAGGGCAGAAGTAGTGACTGGCTAGACTTGCTTCTTTTGAACACGGAACACTGGTTGTTTGAGGCGAATTGCAATAGCCTCTGCTGTTTGAAGAATGCGATGCTTCGATGACTTTGCCAATTTATTAGGCACTCGGTAGATTATAGAGAAGGATTCTTCCACGCTGGCTGGCTGGCTTTGTGGCTGGTCTAATATCAAACTGTTAATGGTTTTCACTACACCTTTACTTAGCCATATTGGGAGATGTTCTCGAGCAAGAAATATCAAGTACCTACAGCAACGGCCAATATAATTCGCTCCACCAAAAGCGCAGTTGAACTGATAGATACAATTTGAAGTGGCTAGCTAGTCTAGGTACTTCATCTTTCAATCGAGGTAGCACCATCGGTCCTGTAGAGAATAATACGTGTAGTTCGTCAGCATTAAAATTTCTTTGAACTTATTTCCTTAATTTCGTCGTAATTATCTCACTTGGTATATCGCCCTTGAATTGTATATTATATTTTATTCCTCTGCATTCCAGGTGGAACATAGGGCTTCGACCTTCAGTACTGAAGTTTCTGAAGCAATGGTGTTCTTTTTTTTACGTGATGGGGTTGCAAGCCTCCCGCTCCTCCCCTACCACTTCTTATCTTTGTCAGGTTCACCAGCAGCTGGCTAAGGGAGGTAAGTGTAATCGCCGGCGGGACCACGTGCAGAGTAGTTGACAAGCATGTTACTCGTGAATCACTAATGCACGTGAAAATCTGTCGTTACCTCAGAAGTGGACTAAATCGACCAGACCCTATTTTAGCATATATATATGGACTTCAAACAGATGTCGTTAAAAACATTCATGTTACTTTACTTGAAGTCACTTAACTCAGGGATAAAAACATACGTCTTCAACAACTACCTTCTACAGGTATTGGTTAAAATGCTCGCGAATAAAATCAAACTTAAAAATTGTGCACCACTGAGAGTGAAAACTTTATGTTCCTTTCAAAAGCATTACTGCAGCCTGAGTACCCAAGTAATAAGCAACATGTATCATGTGAGTACTGATACAATAACGTAACATGACAACAGTAGTTATTTTTATTATCGCTTGATTCCACACAGTATTTTCGGTAAAGTATGGAATTTTCAGTATGTGATATCCGCAGACAAAATTTTGCAGGTGTGCATCGGCAGGGTATCGAACCCCGGACCATGTGAATGGTCGGCGAGAGTCCTAACCACTGTTCCACTGACGCACAATCGTATTCTGAATAGTATTTATATAATTTACAGAATTTTCAGCAGAATTAATTTCATGACATTTTCTCTTCGTCGGCTGAGATCTTCAAAAAAAAATATTAATTGAGTGTGACACGTACTACTGACAAGATTTATCAGCAATATATGTATTCGCAGATTGTGAGGAAGTAACCAAAATTGAAAAAAACAACAACATTTTAAGTCGGTTTATTTCTCGAACCTGGATTTAGTTTACAACACTGTGGTCAGGAAATAATCTCAAGGTTTAACCTTCAGGAAATCTAAAGGATTTTAAAAGATGTCCACCTGATGACCCGTATCAAGGAGATGCCTGGCGATGGAACTATTGAAAGCGTTTGTCTCCTTGAGAGAGATGTAGGCTTTATGATACATGTTCATAAAATCGGAGGTATATCTTTTTCTTTCTGCTATTCCAATATAACTGCTCCCGTAGATATATGTATACACAGTTGGAGTGAACATAGGAAGGATATCTGTCGACTTTTGAGCACACCAAAAAGCATATTGTCCGAGAGACGGAAACAAATTTAGCTGCAGGATAGACTCTGACTAGTGACGTACCCAGTCTGACTTTTGACCACTGCTGAAATATTTTCACCTTTAAAATCGAGTTGAATGAAGATAGACTTTTTTCAACTGCGATTTGAAATTTCTGACGGCAACCGTTGTTTTTCAAAATCTTTTCGAGAAGCATAAATAACTTCTGCTAATTTCTTTGTAGAGTATATTCTACTAGCTGTATAGTACAGAGTCTTGACTAGTCTGCGTTTAAAGCTATTTGGGAAAACAATTATTGAAATGTGAGTATTGTTCACGTCAAGCAGGCTTTCGGTAAATTAACTTCTGAAGACTACCGTCTTTCAGGCGTTGCGCATGGAAACGTCAAAAAAAGTGAAACTTTCCATCATTTTCATGTTCCATAGTAAATTCAGTATTTTTATGTGCGTCGTTGAATAATTTGAACAAGCAGAAAGCATGAGTTTCATTGTTGCACACTACAAATGTGTCATGTACACATGAACAATAAAAAGTTATTTCGTCAATTGCAAGCTTTAACTTTGTTCTTTCATGGTTAGACATGAAGATGTATGCTAAAACAAGACTGAGTGAACTGTCCATAGTTACACCATCTATTTGGTGGTAAACAGTGTCATTATTTAGATGTGGTTGTGTTCTCTGAGCAGGCTGGATGGTTTATTTGTGAAGGTTTCATTATTGTCCTACTAGACAACATCTTCAGCGCATACTTCAATTCGTTGAAGTAAGCTTTTAGATTTCTCCACGAATTTATTAGTATTTTGTTCGAAGCATGCTCCAATGTTCGATAATGGTTCTCCTGCATTGTCCTCAGAAACTTCGTACCGATTGGTTGAAACCTATTTTGAAAATGTGCCTTGAGTCAACACTGTGATTCTTAGACGTAAATGAAGTATTAAAACAATGTGAAATGAGGGCAACACGATGCATGTAGATGGATAGGAAATTGCAGCAGGCTAGTAATTTAAACAGGCCTCCATGAATTAGTATCAGCTAAAGTTAAGTAAAGATCAAGGAATTCTATCAGTAATAGCCGTCTGTCTCGCCTTTCCGATTATAACTGGTTTTGACATCCTCAAGTGTGCCACCTTTAGATTTTGGAATATATTTTGGTTTCAGGATTTCATCATGAAGCCAGTGGCTTAATGGTATACGAGCTCGCCTTGTAACCGGAAGATCCTGGGTTCGAATCCCGGTGGGTGCGTACTGCTGAAAGAGTCCCAAACCAGGACGAAACAGCTGTCCAGTACTTCCAGGTTTTCCAATGGTTCTCTAACTAATGTCAGCTCATGATGAAATCCTGAAACCAATCAAATCCCTACAAACCAACACTTAAATATATATTGGTGTTGGGATTTAGATGAATTTCAACTGTTAGAGTTTTCATCACCGAACTAATAATACTGTGGTGATGTGATACAGACAGTGCGTTCCAACGGAATACTATTCTCAGATATTTTCACAGATCAATACTACATTAGCAAAAGAATACTTTATATATTTGAACATTCTATTTCACATCGTTTACTGTAAACCAAAATCACACGCTCAGTGTTTGGTTAGAGTATATATACACACATATATATAGATATATTGCAGTTGGATCACTTGGAAATATCTCTTGGGTTCCGTGTCTTGCCGTCTGCTCTTACAGTTGGTGTCGCTGCCTACTGACAAATGAAAAGCCTATGCCCTACAGATTTTGGAGAAGGAGACCTATGGATCTCATGGAAGGACTTCGTGGATATTGCGGAGTTAAAGGAGTTCAAGATTCGTCAGCTATAAGGCTATTGCTTGGGACGCTGCTGAAAGGTTGTGTGATGGCAGCATATAATAATGTGAGGCGAAACACAGGGGAATACGCGCCAGAGTCACGCAAACTGCTTTCAAAGTGGGCAGGGCCATACGCGATCACAGTGAGACGGGGTAACGTATATACGATCAGAAATGCAAACAAAGAGAAACGGGTGAACTCAACTAGCTCCGGTATCGGATACAGCAAGACAAGCAAACAAAGACACCAGCACTAAGGAGACCGAAAGGCCTTCAGTCGAAGGTATTTTACGGGGGGGGGGGGCGAGTATGGTGGTGTGATACAGACAATGTGGCCCAAAGGAATATTATTCTCACATATTCCCACAGTTCAATACTGCGTTAGCAATAGAATACTATATGTGTTTGTGCATTCTATCACACGCTCAGTGATTGGTTAAAGAATATAAACTGTATAGATGTATAAATAGCGGTATGATTAATATAAAATATACCCTTGGTTCTATGTCTTGCCTTCTGCTATTAGAATGCTACTTACTATACACTATAGCCTTATAAGCAATACTATTTGTAGATCAGTAATCATTTAGGCAGATTTTAGGAAAACAAATGAAAAGCAATCAATATTGTCGAGGTCATACTCATACATACATACACACATACACACACACACTGCGGTCTAATTACACATTCGACTCAATGAAAACAGATTAAGGTGAAGCAAGATGAAGGATAAGAAGAAGGGTGAACGCTATAGAAAATAAAGAAAATAGCGAAGAATAAAGACAAAACGCGCTCTAATAAATTGCTTTAAATTACTTCACGCTTGATCAATGTTCAATCACAAAAAATAGCATATACAGTTGATGAGTATGTCACATATTTCGAACAAAACTAATAACACATAACAACAGATGAGGAGAATGGAAAAATAAACTTGATAAGAAAAGAAGCGGAAATTCAATAATTAAGAAGGTGAAAGTTACTAATTTGGTCAATTTATTTCTATACACA